CATCTTATCGATGTCCCAGCTCTCCACGATATGATAGCTCGGGCAGCGCGCCGTGTCGACCGCGTCTGCTGGGCGCACAGCGTCACTTGCGCCTCTTCCAGCCGTGGCCGATCCCTCACGCCAGCCAGCCCAGCGTGGCCCCTTGCGCGTCCTAAAGACCGCGAGGCGTTCAGTGACGGGAACCTCATCGCTGCACGCAACGCTTTCCGCCACACGCAAATCCCTCGTGTCCCAAAGACGCCACGCCTCACCTGCGCGCTGAAGCAAGCACGTTTCGTAAGGCGCCTTCTCGACCGCCACGGTCCCAAGGTCCTTCTGCGCAGGGCGCCTACCCCACACAGACGCGTAACCACCTGGCGCCTCCCACCAGCTGTCGACGCTTGGAAGGTGGTCCAAGCAAGTAAGCACTCCAGGCTCCTCAACAGGGCGCCCAACCGGGCCGCTCCCGCCCCACACCGAAGCGAGAACAGTCACCGCAGCAAGGACCGATAGCACACCGATCCTGGCGCCGGTACGCAGCCGCCCAAAGCGTATACGAGGAACAACCTTGGAAGCTTCTTGCCGCGGCCCTGGACGCGGACCCGCAAGCAAAGCACGGGTCATGGTCAACCGAAGCAACGGCGACCCCACAATCCGCGCATGCCTGCGGAGACGGCTCTGACTCGAACACCGTCTCAATCGCGCCACAACCACAAGCCTGCTGACGAGGCCGGAACGCACTTCCGCAACAACCTCGCCTGGCTGGAGAGAGTGATCACACTCTTGGGCTGCAAGCAAAACGAACCCTTTACCCTCTCCTGTGGGCCAGAGACCTGGCGCAGCCTCAACTCCACACTCAACCGGAAGCACAACCTCGGACAGGGATCCCTCTGCGGAGACTCCTGCCTCCCGCACGACTGGCACCAGCACCCCATCACCTGGCGAGAGCTCGAGCGGCTCTTCCCCGTCATAGCGGAGAAGCTCACGACTTCCGCCCCCAGGCTCGGTGCATGACGCGTCGTCCAGGCTTGACAACCGCGCTTCAAAGGCATAGGCCCTGTCCTTCCGAGTCCTACTGTGATCTTCACATCTGGGCATCCTGATTCCCAGCGTGTCGAGGACATGAAAGTCGGGACCCGGCCTGAATCCCAAGCCCATCCTTCCGGCGCAGTCCAGCGCTCTGCCGCCGAGGATAAGTCCGTGCCAATCGGACGTGCCCCTGGCTGCGATTTTACATCGCACGAAAATTTCGGTGTTGGGGCGACAATCGTCCGCCGTCCTGCCTTCCAGCAGCGTGACGCGCAAGACTGCTGCCCCCTTCAAAGGAACTGGGGCTCCCGAAGCAATTCCATGCACATATTCGGGGTGGACCCACTTCTCAAGTCTCACGACCGGGAAGCCAGGATCCTCAGTGCCGATCCCAAGCTCTGCAGCCCGGTTCATCATGCCTACCACGAGTTCCTCAGTCACGTGGTTTGCGCCGGCGCAGCCGTCACGCATGCACTCGACTTTACGGTCGAGGACCTGGACAGGTTCCACCAGTCCTTCGGCAGATCGTCCAAGGTGGCGAACTTGTCCCGCCCGCCCTTGCTTAACGGAAGCGCGTGCTGCTGCACCGCGGCGTGTCCTGCGGCTCCTAAGACGCCTGCCTGGACGCCTGAGCTGCCTATCTGGACACTGAACGCGGCGAAGGGGTTAGACATGGAAGCACCGGAGGGCGGGGCCCAGTTGGCAGGCAAGGCCGGCGTCCCTCCTGAGGTCGTCAGGTTGTGGACCATGTCGCAGCTGGCTCCTTTCTTGCACGACCCATTCTTGGAGAAAAAGGGGCAAACGGTGCCTGGTGGCTTTGCCGCGCCTTTGGCCGCAGCCTTAGGCTTTGCGTTGGCTTTTGCCTTGCCACCTCCCTTCCCTTTGCCTTTACCTTTCGCAGTGGCAAAGGTTTGGTCACCCTTCTTGGCCGCGAGAGCTTTTCTGCGAAGCTCCTTGTCGTGGCTGTACGGGCAGGCATCCCCTTTCGGGCAATTCCCATGATCGCGAAAGTGGAAGCAGATCTTCTTGTCCGCTCCTTTGCCAGCTCCCTTCGACGCAGCAGCATACGTCTGGTCCGCGCCAGCTTTGGCCGCGGCAGCTGCTCCTTTCGCAGCAGCCTTCGCAGCGGCCTTGAGACTCTTAATCTCCTTCTGAGCCTCAGCCAGCGCGACCGCCGGGTCCGCGCTCTGCGAACCGGTGGCCGTGTACACAGAGTGGGAAACAGCCCTGTGCGCTGCTTCTCTCTGCTCGTACTCCAGAACGACTTTGTGGCTCTCCTCCCAAGTCTGCGGTCCTCGCAACCCGCCATCCTTGGGGTCGCCAGGCCACAACCTTTTGTCGTTCCGGATCTCCTTTTGGAGATAAGGGGGCATCTTGCGGAGGTATGAGAGATACAACTCTCGAGGGGTCTTCCCGAGACCTACTGCCTCAAGGTCCGCGATCGAGGCCTCAAACAAAGGCTCGAATTGGTGGCCTGTGAGCTTACCCTTAGCGAGAGAGGCGTGCTCACCATCCACGCGGACTTCTCTTTCCTCCCGCGATTCCCCGAACATCAAGTGTTTGTTCTTGATGCGGTCATACACCGCCTGTGGATCTGAGAGAACCTCTCCCGATTTCCACGCTGCGCGGTACGCGTTCGTGTACGTCTTCATGCGCGAGCCGCGGCAGCGCCCGCGTAGCGCTAACAGCTTTTCGCGCGCACTCATACCGCGACAGTTGTTGGCCAGCGCGCAGACGTCCTCGAACTCCTCGTAGAACAGGACAACGTCTCGCGCGTCCGACTTGTCGTCGGTCAGCGTCGGCCACGTGAGGGGTCAGTTTTGACCGTAGTTATGGAGCTTTGCCCGCCCCTCTGCGCTAACGCTTCTTTCAGCGCCTCAGTTTGGGCGGCGAGTGCGGCGGCGAGATCGCCCGCCGGGTGTTGGGACCCGGTCTGCGAACCTCCGCCGTCTGAACCTCGCTTCAGGGCTTCTATCTCCATCTCTAGCGCAGCAAGCTTCGCGCGCAAAGGGGAATCGCCGTCCGTCGCGCCCAGGACACGGGCCGCGGAAGGACCACCTGCAACCTCAGCAGTGTGCAAACCTCCACGGTCCAAACCTACCCCCAACCCACTTGCAGTCGCAGGCTGTGGGAGCCCTGGGGAACGCGGCCCCACGGCTTCAACTGGCACATCGGACGGGGAGCTCCAAACCTTCTCTTGGCTCGAGCTTTCTTTTCCCCCTAACGCGAGGATAAGCTCCCCGATGCATTGGATTTCGCGCTGAATCTCCTCTGCGTCTTCGGGGTCCTCGCCACCGCGCAAAGCCGCGACCGAGAACCTGGTCCGCAGCCGACGGACCATCTTCGTAGGATGCCAGTCCCCGCCTATCTTGGAGAACTCATCCGCAAGGAGGGTGGCTTTGGTGCTTAAGGCGTCAAGGTCACGGGAGCTCACCGTGACTCCATGCGCTTTCAGCGCGAGGACAATCCGCGAAACGCGCGTCAAGTAGTCCGCGACCGGTTCTTGGTCTGGACGGAAAATCGCGCGCAGCTCCGCCTGCAAGCCCTCTGCGGTGCCTGGCACTGAACCTGCTGTCGACGGCGGACCGGACGGTCCCGCCGGGCGGGACCCTGGTGCCGTAGCAGGGACATAGGCAGCACCGGTACCTGGTACTCCGAACGACGTCTATTTTTTGGTCGTTTCGAGAACACCCATAAAATTTGCAGACGCCCGTAATTTTACAAAACGCCCGTAATTTGGCATTGCCTGCCACCGCGCCGCTGGACGCCCATAAATATGCGTAGAAAAACCGTAGAAAACCCGTAGAACGCCCGTAAAAACCCGTAGAAATGGGGCAGCACGACCACATATTTTTGGTTGTTTTACCCCCCGCCCACAATTTTCCCAAACGGGCGTAAAACCACTTCTTCAACCATAATTACGCGTAACAACGCGTCACGCCCATAATTTAGCCGTAATCGGAGTTCCAGGTAGGGACCATGGCCAGCTCCCTAGCCGCGGCGCTGACGTCCACCCGCGGCGGACTGTCGCCTCCAGCGCCCGAGGCCTCAGGGACTAGCTCGGAGTCCTCTTCTTCTTCCTCTTCATCCTCGTCCTCCTCTTCGGCGTCATGGAGGAACTTCATGACTTTCCGCCAGAGAGCCGCCTCTTGCTCTGGCGTAGTGCTGACCCCATCCCGCTTGGACAATGGACGGCTGCCAGTCTCCCTACGCCACTTAAGCCAAGCGACGTAGCTCATCCGCTCGGGATAGGGAACGTCTCCACCCTCGATAGCTTCGAGGAGGGTGACGCCCTCAGCCTGACCTGCAACCTCTGCGGACATTGCCGCAACACAAGGCGAAAAGCCGCGCCTTGGTTAGCAGGCCGCAGGCGTGGCACGCGAAGCGCCGCGCCTTGGTTAACAGGCCGCAAGCGTGGCACACAGTCCACGCGTCCAGGTCACGGACCGCGACAGACAAGCAAAGCAATGCTTGCCCACTCGGGCCGTAGGCACAAGAGCTGTACGTTTCCCAGAACAGCCCCCAATTGTGAAGTCGACCAGCACTGGACTTGCACTAAGCCAATGCAATCACAGCCCGGTCACGCTGTTTTACGACTTCGTGAGTCCAAGCACTTGTGCAGCTACGCCTGAGTGCGTCCGGTCGGACCGCACAGCAACCTAGGAGCTACTGTACGACTCTACCGTGCTCAAAGGCACAAGCTCGGTACTTGAGCCAAAATATTGGCATTGTTACGAATTGCAAAACTACACATGCAAGGGAAAACTACAAGCTGCACTAGCACTAAGCAAGCACTCCATGCATGCTTTGACCTGCTCACAGTATTCGTGTATTCGTGTATTTGTCTATTTGTCTATTTGTCTATGTGTGTATATATGTATGTATATTTGCGTATGTGGAAATTTGATAATATGTTTATTTGTCTGTTTGTGTATATGCATCTTTGTAGATTTGTTCCTTCGGGTGCTTTCGATCGTGACGGATACGCGCAGATGATGTCAGCGCCCATTGCGGAGCAAACCAATGACAGTACCATCCAATGCCTGATTTGGGTCATTCCCGATTCCTACGCTTTAGATTTTGCCATCTCCAGGACCTGGGTCAGATGTCGGATCTTTACTTCAGGCTGGGCGACGCTGATGCCAAGCATCGTGCATCCGTGCGGTCGGTGTGCGCTTCGTCCTGGACCTAGGCCTGCAAGAGCTTGCAGCAGCGCGAAGGCTGTGCCCAGGAGGCTCGTCACCCAGCCTTTTTCGAGAGCTGCCTTGGGGTTCCATCCGCCTTGAACCCATGAAGGCTACCGCGCGGGCTGCCCTAGACATTGCCAGCAAGCTTGGAGGCTTGCTCGAGGAGGCCACCTGCTGATCGTTTACTTGTGAAAGGGTGGAAACGGTGTAACAGCTGAGGTCGACCGAGATTGCCAAGCAATGGCATTGGCCCTCGATGACATGGATGGCGCCTTGCCCATCTTGGTATTTCTTGCGAGCCTTTGTCTGACGTGTGCTTCGCTGAGGTGGGTTGCCAGAGGGTTGGGCGTCAGCCTTGGCATTCCTTGCATACTGAGGTTTTGATCATTTTTTGCTTGTAGTCTTGTGTTGTGCCGAGGAGGCAAGGCTCCCCTAAATATCGTTAAATAATCAGGGCTGCTGGGCCTGTCGTTCTTGGCTTAGCCTTAGCGGCGTTAGCATCTTACAATGTGTAAATTTGTTGCATGCTGTTTCCACCTCTTGGGTCCACAACACTAACTCCAGAGGCGAGATGCCGAGCTTAGCTGTGTCCTCGTCCCGTGGTGTTGTGAATGGTGGCCGCTCCTTGCCGTTGCCTGTGCCAGAATTTCAGAATGGCGGCGGCTGGAGTTGGACCCGAGCCTCATGTCAGTCCGTCGACAGCACGCACGCACACGAACACGTGCGCGCACACACACACACACCCACACACACGCACCCACCCACCCACCCACACACACACACACACACACACACACACACACACACACACACACGCACACACTCACTCTCTCTCTCTCTCTCTCTCCCCTCTCTCTCTCTCTCCCCCCTCTCTCTCTCTCTCCCCCTCTCTCTCTCTCTCTCTTTTAGCGCCTTCACTTCTCACTGCTGGGATTGACCTGACTCTGTGACTGGCCCTAGAAATCGACTGGTATAGGCCTCGTTCCGAAGCCAAGTTACAGGGTTTTTCGTTTTTTGAAATCAGAAGTTGCTTGGCATCTGCACAATTCTTCGTTCGATTAAGAAGAGACACAAGAAGCCCTTGCAGCGAAAGCATGAACAATCCCCGTAATGGTGCCAGAGTTCGTCAAGTCACCTCGGTTCACTATGAGCTTTAAACCACGGGCTTAACAAGATGTGACATGGCATACGGAGTGAAGCTCTTTTTTCTGAGGTGGAGCTTTTGGGCCTCGCTGCCTCACATGGAGCGGCCGGTGACGCACCAGCTCCATCACTCCTTTCCTTGGCCAGGAGCTTACCTGGAGATTACCAGCAGCTTAATTGCTGAGCTTTTGCTGCAACACCCTCGAGATCGCAAGCTGCGTCGTAGGCCGTGTTCTGCTATATCCAGGAAACACAGTTGTCTCTGGAGAACGACATGCTTCGCGCAGTGGAGCTGGCTGATTTGCATTGCTGGATATTTGCCATCTTTCACTTTTCAGGCGGTGATATTTTTCGGACTTCGGCTTTGGGCTTCTTTTCTTCGCTGGGTGTCTCACAGCTAGCATTCTGCCTTTGCCGCCGCACCTCGTTTCCCTGAACGTACGGAATCCTTGGGCCCGCTCCAGGCACTGAAGCGGGCACCTAAATGATCTCCCGAGGCGAAGAAAGTGGACTCATGGACTGTAAAGAGCGTGAATCCGACTGAGACTCTGTGGCTCTGTGGGATGATGTGGGATGTCTGATTTCGAGCACTTTTGGAGTTTTGCAGGTCTTGGCCTCGTGGTGCCGTGGTGACGGTGGGTGGAGCGCGAGCCCCAGGTTTGGCCGGAGGGCTGTGGGGTATTGCGGGCAGACTATTTTTTTCGTGCAGAACACCAGTGTTTGCGAGGTGGGCCATTTTTTTGTCCAAAGGGTCGAGCAATTTGTTCCCTTTCTCTCTTGACTTCTTCCTTTCTTTTGCTTCCTGTCTGCGAGGTTGTAAATTGACCACTGAGGCATCGGATGTGCATCCACATGTATCGCAGCCTCTCGCCGCAGCCTGAGAAGCAGCTGGGAAACCAGCGTGTTTCACTTGGTCTGTAGCCGGTAGTCTTTTGTGTCAGTGTCGGATTTGTGTATATTTCTTGCCGCAGACTCCAACCAGCTTCAGCAACCACAGAATTTCCTAGAATCACGTTGCGCCGAGCAGGACTTGACTGGCAGGGAAGCCTCAGCTTTTGTGCCCATTAAGGCAGTTCAAATAGCAGGTGCCTCAACACAAACAAGCGGTGATCATGGGTCAGCTAGCTCAAACACCGATGTGATATACTAGTAGACACTCTGATGCTTCCATGGCATCCTTGCAGGATGACCTAGCTAAGCTGCTCGTGCCCCTGTCCCCGCGGAGCCGGCAGCAGCTTGAGGCCATGTGTGCTTTGTGGCCTGTAGTCCCAAAACGTGTAAACTTCAATCGTAAGCCGTCAGCATAAAGCCAAGAAACCGAAACCCTTTAAACCCAGCTTTGAGGCCAAGTGCCTGTCAGCCCAGCCTCTGAACCTGCTTTCGATTTTGGACACGCCCGCGACGCCCGCTGCTCCTGGCCTTGGTGGCGCCGTGCAGCTTGCATCCGCCAAGCAACTCGCAGCCGTTTTGCTGGGGAGACGCGTGCAGGAGTGCTGGCACACGCTCAGTGTTGCTGACCGGGCCCAACTGCAAGCCCGCCTTGTCCATTCTTTGGACTGCGCTCCAGGCGGCAGTGAGTCGGCCACAATCCTTGCAGACTGCACTGTGGCTGTTGCCCGGCATCTCGCGGCAGAGGGCGTCCTATGGCTGGAACTATTGCTGTGGATCCGCAAAGTTGCTGCTGATGGAGAGCGGCTACATGAGCTGCCTGCCTGTTGCTCTCAGTTTCATGGCATGATGACTCTCCTTAAAGGCCTTTTGATGTCGCCTCCGTCACCTCCATGGCGGAACCTTCTTGAGCCTCACCTTACGGAGCTCTGCCAGGCTTGTGTGTCCATATTGGAAGGCACACGTTGCCACCAAGAAGGCGATGCCCAGACTCACGCCAAGAACGCCATCGAATGCCTGGGTTCCCTGGCCGCCATTGTGAGGGGTGAGGAAGCCGCTCGCCTGTTTCATCACCAGGTGGTCGGAGTGCTTGTCAGTGACGCCATCATGGGAAGCGAACTCTGTGATGCTGCTCTAGAAGCTTTGTCGCAAGCTGCTGCCGCCGACGAGCTGCTCATCGCCGATGCCTCCTTCTACCATTCACCGCCGTCGGAGCTCTGCAGAGTGGTTCGATTGGCCCTGACGGCCTCCGTGACGCAGCGAGGGTCGAGGAGACTGAAAGCACTCCGCTTGCTTCACAGCATCGCTGACTCGCATTCCCGGCTCCTTTGCACGGCGCAGGGTGTCCAGCTTTCGGCAGAGGAGGTCCTACTTTCTTTGGTTGACTTAGTGGCACCGGACGAGGTACGAGTCAAAGCCAACTGTTGGGAAGGGCTCTTCGTGGGGCAGAACTCTGCGGCAGAGAGTGGAGCTGAGTATGCATTGCTCACTCGAATTTCGAAGCGCATGCCAGACAAACTGGTCCTTCCCCTTATCTACCGCAGCGCCTGTAGGACCTTGACCGGCTCCGATCTGCCAAGCAAACTTGCTGCGCTTGCAAGCCTGGGGGCGGTGCTGCCAGGATGTGCTTCAGGGGTGAAAAGGCAGCTTCACCGAGTTGCCAAACTGGTTTTGCGAGCCTTGGTGCAACCGGCATTACATCCTGTGGCCTTCGCATTAGTCGCTGACTTGTGTGCTCTTATTCCTGCTGAGACGCGCTGCGGGTCGGCAAGGCTGACCGAGAGATTGCTTCCTCCTCTTCTACAGCAGCTGCAGCTTTTGCAACTTCATGATGTGGGCTTCCCGCATGCCCTTGCGGCTCTCGAGGCTGCTTGTCCAAGCAACCTGGCCAGTCAGGAGTTCATCAGAACTAGCTTCAATTAAGGTGTGGTGACGGTGTCAACGGTTGCTGTAGATTTTTTTTGGGGTGGGGTTGAGGGTGTGTCAGCCATCGTTCCAGAGAGGCTGCAAGGGTACCCCGTTGTCACTGTTGAGGATCCGCCTGTGGCAGGCTACTGCCTGCTTTTCGACCTCCCCAAAGTGGAGTGGCAGTGCTGATGTGGGCCTGTGAGAAGTTGGGGGAGCTTGTCCTCCAACACGATTCCCTGGAAGCTGGGCTGGCAGACAGCATAGCAAAGAGACTTTGTACTCTCATCAGTGTGCTGGCTCGGAGACAGCACTCCACACGACACACCGCGGAGAGTGTGAAGGCAGTCGGACGCAGAATCGCAGCTGTGCTGCAGCAAGTGATGACCTCCGCTTCCGGTGTAGAGACGCGCTCTGCTGCACTGGAAGCTTCTGGAGCTTGGATCAAGCTGATGGCTGATTCTGGTTCCAGATGCCCAGAGTTTCTGAACACTTGCTTGCAAGCGGTGGAGAATGGCCTGCACGACCAGTTTGAGCCTGTGTCTGGGGTGTCCGCAGAAGCATCGGTGCGATTCTGCGTCGCACTTGGGCCACTGGCACCCTCACCGGGAGCTGTCGCCGTGGCTGGCTTGGAATGTTGTGCCCGACGACCCCGACCTGACTTGCTGTGGGCGGGGGGGGGGACTGTCAAAGCAGTCTGAGCACCCTGCAGAGTCCAGAAACGCTCAGAGTCTCTGTTTGCCCCCGCAGGCGCTGGCCGCTCTTGTGGCATCCACGCAATGTGTGAGCCCAAGCTGACAAGATTAAGCACCCTGACCTCTCGGACCCCTCACGGTGAGAAGCGTCCAGCCAAAGAATTGTGTTTTCTCCCAAGACCCGTTCCGTGAGGCCTGCACGCCGTCTTCGGAGACCTGGCAGCACCGGAGTGGAGTCGAAGCCTGGTCGCATCTGCCTCTCCTTGCACATTGTTTCAAAGAAGGTTGCTCTTGAGTTGCTCTTGAGTTGCTCTTGGTGGTGGTGGTGCTGGTGGCGGCAGGTTTGAATCGTTGTCTTTTTTCTCCTGCCTCGGAGCTTGCTTTTGGCAGTTTAAAATCATCATTACTAAGCTTGTAGTACAAATCAATGGAAATCCAGCCGGCTCACAGAAACGTCCGTTCCAGTACTAAGCTTGTACTACAAATCAATGAAAATCCAGCCGGCTCACGGAAACATCGGTTCCAGTACTAAGCTTGTACTACAAATCGATTAAAATCCAGCTGGGTCACGGAAACATCGGTTCCAGTACGAAGCTTGTACTACAAGTCATTTACATCACTACGATGCCTGGAAACATCGGAGAACGATATGGTGACCGCCCAAAAGCGATAACCCTACATAAATGTTGGAAGGCTGGCATTAGAGGTTTTGCCGCTGGCTCATTTGTACGCTGGTTTTGCTACCAAGAGGCCAGTACGCACAAACCGCGAAAATGTATGACAGACGTGGACATGTTGCACCCCTTTACATACTTTGTCTCAAAACTTGCATCCAGCTCAGCTACTCTCCTCGTCCTCTTCGCCGGGGCCTGGTCTCCTGCGTATATCCCCCGGCATTTTGCAAGCATTCTCAATAGAGTATGCCCGGAGTGCCTACCTCCAGAGAAGCCCGCAAAGTATCCCAAGCGCCAAACAGTTTTAGGGTGGCGATGCCTAATGAAGTAAAGTCATTCTTTTTCGCCGTGGTTTGCCGAGAGACATAAGGAAGATGTCTGCGACTCATCTGGCAATCATTAGAGTCGGCCGACACGCTCAGAGCTTTTTTGGGTGGGTTAGGGCGGGCGTGGGCGGGCAAAGGCATAGGGGTAGGTATAAGATGCCGACCGTTCATCCTCAACCTCAGCAGAAGGTGCCAACATTATGTGTCCCCTTTTGGTTTTCTCATTTCTTTTCCGGCTGCGATCGGGCGTCGCAAATTGAACTCTGCGCGTACCACAGGCATCGCACCTCACTCAGCTTGAAAATGTCACAAAAAAAGGCCAAAGTATCTATACCTCCAGACGGACGGCCTGACCTCAGAGGAAGCTCATACGGGGAGGCTTGAAAGCTTGACGCCGTGCAAGGGACAACCACAGAAACTTCAGAGCCACCTGAAAGCGTCAAAGTGGCTTTTTCGCCCACGTGTCTAGTGGCTTGGAGGCCTGGCGGGTTAGACGCCGCGGCATGTCAGGGAAAGTGTGATCCAAGAAGTGTCTCTCCTTGCCCCAAAAGGACTGGCACAGCTCCTAAGCGGCTTCCTAGAGCAGAGGGAGCTGCGTGGGGCGACCGCCGAGCTGGTGAGGCTCTGCAGCATGCGCCAGGATATCTGTGGGCACATGATCGGTTCCGCCACGTAGCTACATTGACAGCCAGGCATGTTCCGCTGTGCAAGGCCTGACATGCTGAGTGTTCTTGAGAGCAAGCACAGCACGATGCTGCAAAATGCAGCATTGCTGATCTCTGACTCCATGTGCGCCAGCATTTGTTCACGTTTGAGCGGAGGCGACAGCCGTGCTTCTCGCGCGTTTGGCAGCAGAAGTGCAAGAGGAGGCCGATGCGCATGCTCGAACTTCGCCCACATTTGTTGCTGTAGCCGCAGCGGCTGGGGATAGCTGGGCGGCAGGAGAGGGTCGAGGTGTTTCGCAATCTTTGCACGGCTGCTGCTCACATGGCAGTTGCCGCTCAGGACCATGGAAAGGGCAGGGGTGCGCACATGTTGGAGTCTAGTTTGTGCCATTCTGTTGAGGAAGACTCGTCAACAGAGGTTGCCGAGGCGATGCAATTGCTGAGGCTGGAATGATTGCGCGTGCTTGCGTTAAGACTCGCACAGCTAAGACTTGTGACAGGGAAGCCGCCAGGCTCCGGCAAAGCCTGGAGCTTTATTTGGCTTTCTCTCCCCTTGACTTGGCGGCAGTGTTCTGGCAGGGTTCTTGCAGTGAGGTGCAGCGCCAGCGAGGTCAAGCGCTTTGCAAAGCTCGGACGAGGCAGTGATTATCGAATGCGATATCTGTGAGACTGTGCATTTGGCATTGAGAAAGGACTCGTCGGACACTTCCGATTGCCCCTCAAGTCGGGGTCCTGGGGCTTTTGCCTTTTCTGCTTCCCTCCGCTCGAATCGTTTGCTTGATTTGCTCTTGTAAGGCGCTTCAGAAGAGAGTGCCCCCACCGTAGCTTCGACAGCAGATTTGGAAGGTCCAGGCCGGCTTTCAATCATCCAGGGCAGAAGCAGCAAAAGCGGAAAAGCACAGATTCTGTTTCTGGAAGGTGCTGGACAGGCTTTGCACGTGCTCTGCCGGGCTGTGGGCCTGACATAGCTGTGCCGGAAAAGTCAGCGTTCTTCGCTCCGTTCAATGCGCCGCGAATGTTGTGACCAGCACGTGCAGCATGCAGTCCCTGCCATAAAGCCTCCGACAAACCTTTTCCTGTCCCGGCACAGGCAGAGGTTAGGCTAGCGGCTAGCCTCTACAACCGACCACCAGATTTCACCAAGCTTTACAAAACGCGGATGATGTCAGACGTGTCAGACGTGAATCAGCAGAGACCAGCTGAGTCGCCGAGGCCTCACTCTGAACTACCTTGCGAAGTACCGTTCCATCAGAGAAGTGGAAGGCGGAGGAGGTGGGCTCTGGACATGTCTGGACATTGGCCTTTCTGCCTCTGTTGCAGCGGCTCCACTGATCTGGTGTGTCAAGGCTCGGAGAGCTCGGACGACAGAAGAAGCAGAGTAGGTGAGATCTGGTCTCGAAATGTCTCAAGATGTTTCGCAGTCTCGCGATCACCTTTGGATTCGTTTTTGAGTTCATTGCTCGATGGTGATCTCATGCAGCTTGACCGAAGCAGACCATGTCAGAACGCCGTTGTGAAAAGCATGCGGGAAGCAGAGCGACATGAATACTGGGAATGTGTGAAGGCAACTTGCAGAGTGTGATGCCCGCAAATCAGATCGTGGTGCAGGGTGACGCAAGAGGAATGTTAGATGTCCAAAAGACACTCTAGCAGGCGTTCCCACGGCTCTTACGTGCTTGGTCGCGCCATGGCACTTGCCGCATCCTGGACTTGTGAAGCAATTTGCGGCTCCTAGTTATTGCTTGGTATAGGTAGCTGTTGTGGTGGGGCACGATGTCGGGGTATCGGCAAGATCGCCGCGAGCTCTCAGCCCCATCCGGCTCCGGACCGGGCAACGCACGGAATGCGCGGCGCGATACACGTGAACCTTTGCGCCCCCTGGGTGCATCGAACGGAATCGGTGCGCCGGGTGCCCGGCGCCGTGCTTTGGAGCAGAGCCCGGTCACAGCCTTCCTTCGCGACGTGGGGCTTCCACAATATGCCGAGGCCTTGCTTCCCTTAAGATTTTCTCTTTTTGTGTTGTGAAACGAAACAACACGCTTTAACATCCGAATTCCTCTGAGCCTTCAGTTCCTGAGAGGTTCTTCGTGATCATGGATTTGATGACATGGAGACGTTGCTTGGCATCGAGGAGGAGCACATGCGGGATGCCGGCATGCCGTCGGGCCACATTGTCAAACTCAAGAGGCGCGTACATGCGGCTAGCAGTGAAAGCATAGTGAAGCTCAATGACGCATGTCTCAACAACGCGCCTCTGCCTGGCCAGCCCCCCTGCCCGTCCTTGCCTTCTAGGCGACTGCGGGAGTATGCCGAAGCATCTGGTGGTACTACGGCAGTGGACCCTCCAACTCAATCGCTGCCGCGTGGACCTCCAGGCTTGAAACGTGCCAATCCTTTTGCTCACGTGTGACCCGCACATGTAGCCACAAGTTACCCACATCTCCGATCACAGTGTGTTCAACCCCTTTTCACTCTCACAGCTCGCAAGCTGCTCGCAGGTCTGGTTACTGCCTTCGGTGTATGAGTAAATGCCTTGCTACCATTTTGCTACCTAGTTAATGAACCGGGCGCGCTCTTGCAGTCGATGCATGTGTCCGCACAGCCCCCCGTAGGAACGACTCTGGCTATCAATTCCAATGCTTTGACGACTGTGCAAATGAGTTGGCTTCAAGTGAAGCAGTTGGGAACAGACACGGTCGGAGGCCTATTCTATAAGAAGTTCTTCCAACTGGAGCCCACAGCGAAGGCTCTGTTCCCCATGAGCGTACGTTTGCGCTACAAGGATTGGGACACTGACGAGGAAGAGGGCGAGGATCCCACGAACTCTCCAGCCTTGCGAAAGTTGTGGGCAAAGTTCGTTACTGTAGTTGGAAGCGCTGTGGCTGGGATTCAAGACTGCTCCAAACTCGTTCCGAGCTTGCAGCAGTTGGGGATTCGGCATGTCGCATATGGCTTGAAGCCAGAGTACTTCAATCTTGCTGGAAAAGTTCTGATTGAAGTGCTCGCTGAGTGGCTCGGCGAGAGCTTCACCAAAGAAGTGGAGAACGCGTGGGTTATGGTTTCAGGCTTCATGGTGGCCACAATGTTCGCAGGCTTTACTTCAGCTTGCTCGGACATCCATGCGAAGGAGTTGCAGCTCGGCTTTCTCAACTCGACCAAGGATTTATCGTCAACCCCTGCGTCCACGGTAGGGAGCACCATCACAGATGGCGTTTCCATGACCTCCCGACAAGTGACCCCGGTGGAGAAGGATGTAGACTATGGCAAGGAGGCCTATGAAGTTCCAGATGATTTGCCTACAATACTTACCTCAGATCGTTTCAGCCAGCTTGAAGAGAAGCTGCAGCAGAGTTCCCCATTTCCGTAGGCAATGGGTTTCCGCTCGCTCGTGCATGTTTGTGGGTAGTTGTGGCCATTTACAGTCCCAGCACTGTGACGTCCAGTGTGCGGATGCTCACATCTGCCAGCACGCATGTACAGCTTTGAAGGAGGAACCTCATCTTCCGAATTCCACCTGCGTTTCGGATGATTTGCATGCCCACAGGGAAATCTGTGTACATTCAGCTTGCAACAAGTTCCAAGCAGTACTGTGGCTTGTGACGGCTACTGACTGCTTATGAGTGCTTCCGTGTTGCAAAGCTGTGCGGACTTGAGCACCGTTGCCTGGAAAAGTTGGCGGCTACAGGGTAGGACCATGAGCAGATTGGCAAGCATCCATCTGGCCGCGTGGGCAGCAGGGTATGTCTGTGTTTTGTTCAAGTAGGCTAGTGAAGGAACATCGCAGCAGAGGCTCCCCAGACGCACGATTGATGCCAAACCCGTACCCACGTGAGCGTTCCAAGGTGAAAGTGAGCGAGGATGCTAGAGTCTAGACCGATCTGTGGTAGTATTGCTTGGTAGTATGTTGGTAGACTCGACTCTCATTTCTCGGGCGATGGTGCTCCATGATTGATGCTCCAAAACACCCGTGGGCGAACCGTCTTCGCCTTTCAGCCCAAACGTCTTCCAAAGGATGTGGACAGGCGCGCGAGTGGCAAGAACACATCAAAGGCACCGCTCCATACCTGTTCACCTGCAGGCTCACGTTCTTCAAGGGCTCCATAGTCCGGAAGAAGTCCGTAGGCCCCCTGTGTGTGTGTGTGTGCATCTGTCAGCGCATCTCCGGAGCACTTGCGAGGGTTTTCTCTACGCGGACTTTGAGTCTGAGAGAGTCCTCTTGTTTTCTCCCACCTCTGACTCAGAGGCCCTGCAGGGGTGGACGATGAGACACAGAAGGCTTGCACGTTCACACGTGTGCCCTAAATTGCAAAGACAGCTTCCCTATACGTGCACTTGATCAGGTGGACACGGTGGACACCGAGAAATTCGAGCCACCATTGCGATCTGAGGCTTGCAGAGCAACGGCTTTCAAAAGAGAGAGGCCTCTTGAATCCTTGAAATCCACTTGAAGCTTGAAGGCAGCCCTGTCGCGCTCAGCATCTGTTAACGATTTGAGGTTGGGGGCACACTCATCTCATCTCATCTCTGAGCGCTAGAAGCACGTAGAAAGAGGACGCGGGTTCAGCGGCAGCGGTCTTCGGAGCCTGTTGAGAAAGGCGAGTCTCATTAAGCAGCTCCGGGGCGCCCTGGCCATGTGCACAGAACGGCTGTCATATGCTGTCATCAAATTTGGAGGTTCAGAGCCAGGCAAACAGATCTTGGCCTCCAGGCTCAGCGTTGGCTTGATGATGCTTGATTCGGCCGCTCTGACAGTTCTGAAACTTTCTGAGAGCTGACAACCTTGAGGCACTCTGTGCAATGCAGGCCTTTTTCAGCGCGATTGGGAGAGGCCGTGCTCCAACAGAAGCTCTTGGAAATTCTTAGGATGCCGAACATCACAGGCGCCACCTCCGCTTCCTGCTTTCCCCGGAAGTTGGAAGTCCGAGGCCATGTCATTGAAGTTGAGATCCCACGCACGCAAAAACCCGTAGGTGCATCCGCGCGCTGCAGCATTTGTTTTTACGGGCGGCGGGGGGGGAGGGAGGGGGGATGTGCCAGCTGGCATATGCTGGCCTGCAGTATTTTTGCTCCACGTCTGCAGGACTCGACCCTGATGTCCGCAACCAGCAGTGGCCTGGCCGGAAGATGCTTCTCTCTGGGGCTGCAGCTTGCAGTCTCACTCTCTCACTCTCTCTCTCTCTCTCTCGCTGACTCGCTCGCTCGCTCCCGCTCTCTCTCTCTCTCTCTCGTTCGCTCTCTCGCTTGTATATATACAGATATATAGATATTATGTGTGTGTGTGTGTGCGCTTGCGTGCAAGTTGTATTCTCACGTGCTCTCACCCCGGGTTTGTTGTGCCAAACGGTTGCTTCAGACACTGATTTCCCCTATGATTCAGAAGGAGCAATCTGAAACGACCCAAAGCTGCACAATGCGCAGCATATTTTCCTAGCCTGTTGGAGTGCTGCGAGCTGCGGTATGTGCTTTCAGTTGCAGGTGCAAGACGCCCTTGGTCCGCCAAAGAAGCCAGTTCTGATCCTGACAAGTGGCCAACCTGGATGGCAGAAGCGTTTGCCGATGGACCCAAAAGCTCACCGGCAAAGGTCTGCGCCAGTCATAGTTGCGGCCGCAGGGAAGGCAAAGCGCTGTGCAGAGTTTCTGCTCACGACAGCTCATATCATTGGCATGGTCAACCATGGCAACCGAAGGCGCTTCTGCGTGCGGCAATGGAAGAGTCAGGCAGAAGACTGTGTCAGTGTTTTGTAAGCGCCGCGCATACTTGGGCGCCGTGCGGCTGCTGCAAGCACTTGATGTCGAAAGTCCAGATGCACCTGACTCCCACAGCGAAGGAACACCTGCGAGCAAGAATGGGCTGTCCAGATCTCCCTCCATGCCCTTGCCAAAGAGGTGCACCCGTGAGGTGGGGCTGTTCTTTGATATGAACTCCAGCATCAACGTGCGCAAGGCCGACAGTTCCGCGGGAGAAGCGGAGACCAAGGCCTCGAACAGCAGGAGAGGAGGCGGGCCCCTCTCACAACAGTGCAAGGTAATAGGAAGTTGAATTTTAACGCTGAGCGACCCGCCTCGGCCAGGGCCTGTCTCAAGTCAAACCTTAAACCGTCGCCACACGGCGAGCAGGGGGGGTGAAGGGAAAGAGGTTTGCACCTCTCTGGCAGAGGGAGCGGAAAAGTGTGCGGCAGATTGCAAACATGCTTGCGCGCATCGCCTCGGCGCCGGCCCCAAAGCGAGGTGTGGCGTGGACAACGGGCGTCTGTGGGGGTGGGGGTCGCACAGAAAGGGTGTGTCTTATTTCGTGTTTTGGTGGAGGGGGTTGGCGATGAAGGGGACCAGATCGGGGTTCCACATGCCTCTCAGGCGGCGCCGGGGCCTTCCTGCGGACAAGCTTGTGCATTGGCAGGCAGATGCAGTCGGCGAGTCCGACGGATCATCGTCAGCCGCCGCCAGTCCTGTGAATCCCGCGCAGGCACGCGGCAAAGTGCATGGCACATTGTGGGGAAACGGCAGTTGCCCCTACCAGGCTTCAAGTTGCGACCGCATGTCTGCGGTGCCACTGCTTGGTGGGTATGGTGGGTCTCCGGTGACGCGATCGACGCCACAGTTGGCATCAAGCCCGCGGCCGCCACCACCATTGCCACCGCCGATTCCACAGCTCCGGCGGTCTGAAGGCAAGAAGCACAATTAGCATTACCACCTCAAAAACGCAAAACCCTTCCACAGTCTATTCTGGACATGTTTTGAAATTTGGGGGCTTGTGATCTTCATATTTGGAAGCACCGTTGAGCTGTCTGCTAGCGGTCAGATGCCCCCGAATCTCGTGAACTTGCTCAAGGGCACAGTTCTCATCCTGTTTACAAGCTTCAGTGGAGATCGTTGGAGCATGTTCTGCATGCGATGCATCGCAAACGCTATCGACTCACATTAGCCCTTTCCAAACTCACTCGGACAGCCAGGACAGCCGCACACAAATCTGCTTGCAGCTGCTTCTGCACAGGCGCTCCATAATATGTCTGTAAGAGCAGGATAGAAATTGCATGAAACTCTGCAATGTTCTTGGCTTCTCCTTCTCTGCTGCTTTCTCTTCTGCCTGTCGCTTGTTGACTCCCTGTCGCCTCGCACCGTGCAGGCATCTCTGCTCAGCCCAATGCCGAGCGCGCGTCGCCTTTCTGTCAGCCCCGGAGAGCACCACCCCTCTGCACAGAGTTGAAGAGGAGATGCACCTTTGCACTGTGACAGTGGGCGAGAGCAGCCTGCTGGTACACGTGCTCTGCTAACGCTTCGGACGCTTTGTGCATCCGGTTTCATGCGCGCCTTCGCGATTCCTGCAAGATGCAGGGCTCTGCAGGGTGCAAAGAGCAGGACATCCAAAGCCTGCTAAACGGGATTTCAGGATTTCAGCGGAGTCTTGAGGGCATGTGCGTATATCAGCTTGTGTTGTAGAGCTCCTTGCGCGCTGCCGGCTTTTGTCTGTTGGCCCAAGCTTTTGCAGATGCTGCTGAATTAACATCAGAGCCACAGCATGCATGCTACAAGTTAGAGACCAACCCTTGCATGAGAACATTCGCCTCAACACATATCATATATGTATATACTTAAGTTGCAGTGCGCTGAAGTGACATAAAGTATGGTTTATACTGTTGTTCTCGGTGAGTGCATATATGGTTCCTTCTGTGTCCTTTCTGGGATACTTGCACAAACCCTACACATGCTGCAGAATGTCCAGGGCGCGAGGAATGGGTCCGGGGCATGTACTGCACGTCGTGCACGTGCACCAAGTGAGTGCCCGGTGTAGTTCCTCGGGCTGCAATCGTGCTCGTCAGGTTGAGTCGTGTGTGCGCTTGCTGGCTTTCCGGACACGGTGCGCTCCCTGGGTTGTAGAATGCACACCTGCCAAAGCAACGAACTGGAGCAATTCAAGCAAGAGGACGCGCAGTGATAACCTGATGTCGTTGTCGCCAGATCTGTGCACGTGCTACTGGTGACTCTGAAAAGGTGTATCGCTGTCAGCGCCGATGACACTGAGCCGTCGCCACTTCAGCCGCGCAAGCGGCAATATTCCTGGATTGGATCGCTGCCGTGAAATTGAGAGGCGGTTCTCGAACCAGGTGATAGCGACGAGATCCCCAAGCACATTGGATATGCCCCACGATACTTCGACTTCAAGGCCGGGTGTGTGTCCTCTTGCATATTCTTGAGGTCGTTGCCTGAAAGCAAAAAGAGAGTGGTCGCAGCTCCTGCCTCCTTTCCTCTTTTGCTCTCTGTCTCTTGAGACGGTACAACAGCGTGCAAGGATCTCGACCAGAAAACTCCATGTACCACAAAGTTGGATGGCTTTGATGGTTGATGCGATCAGCTCGCTCCCTCATGGCCTGTGCCCAGTTATATCCGGAACTGTCCCATGATCCAACCATCGTGATTTCGTAACTTGCGCTCGTCCTTTTGTGTCGGCAAAGCGCATGCAACGGAGCTCCGGGAAAGCAAATGTGCGACGGAGCTCCGGGAGAATCCGAAAGCGATTCTTGGCCTTCCCTAATTGCTCAGAGCACGCAAAGCCAGGGATCGAACTTTTCAAGAGTTGACACTGCGAAGGAAGTTGGCCGGAAACCGGAAACCGCACAGCGGCTGGCATCAAGCGATGCTGGCGATGCTGGCTAGTAGCTTGCTGCGGAGCAGACTGATTTGGCACCCAACTGACCAAGTTCATTTTGTGTTCATCGTGTTTCTTCATGTCCACATCCACAGCGATGCATGAAAGCGAACATCTTGTCATCTTGCCATGCTGCAAACTTTTTGCAGTGCAAACGTCGGCTTGAAAGAGGGGCCATCCCCGACGTGGCAGCTTTGGGTCAAATCGTCTCATAGCTGACCTTCGGTGGCGCCAACTTGCCCCCTGTTTACGGAGATGCAGAGGTACGTCAGGGGTCCGCTCCGTTGAAGTAACGTGTCTTGTCATCGATAGACTCGGTCACTCGGGCTGAGCCGATGAGGGACTCAGGGTTTTTGGCAAGTGGCAGACAGTAGTGGTGGCTTCGCGCAGTTTGCATTCTAAAGTTCAATCAAGTCTTTCGTACTGGTATCAACATGGTCGACTTGGAAGTCATTGCTGGGTGTCCATGTGGACTGTGCAGAACTTACCCGGAAGGAAGCTGAATCATGCCGAATCATGTTGAATGAAAAATTTCGGACAGAGGACTTGCAGCCCAGAAGAAATTCAAGAAGCATGCTCAGCCTGAGTCAGCCTTGCAGCTCAACAGTTTGTGACGCACGAATAGTGGTTGGTCGTGGCTAACTCTGACACGGTTCCACCCGAGCCTTGAAGCCTGACAAGAAAGCTAAAGTGCTTGCATCACAGCCCGGCATCTTTGCCAAGCTGTTGGACAGAGACTGGGCCGTGGGCCTTCTATTCCCCCGATGTATGCATGACACGGTGACGGGCCAACTCCCTTGCATATGCCATCCCCGAAATTTCGAGAATCACAACAGTGTGGGTGGGTGTGGGTGGAGATGGGTTGCATGGGTGCGATGATGGAGAAGAGAAAGCCGACCTCGGACCAGTCGGACACACTGTGACCGCCCGAGCCTACGGGAGCCCGCTGAGAGGAAGAAGCAGTCGTCCCAGTCGTTGCCGGAATCGTTCGGAGCACCTTGTCAGGCCTTTCGAAAAGCGCCGCGGCCTTAGTGACAGTTGTGGTTGGTGAGCGCTGGAAGCCTCTGCCTCCTGTGGCCCGCTCCCGAGACTCTTCCACCAGGCTGAGAGAAAAGAAAGAGAGCCTTTCTGAAGCTGAGCTTCGGGAGGCTGGATTTCTTGTTTCTGGCTTTCCTGATGCAGTTTCAGGCGGTTTTCCGCATAGCTTGGCCTCCGGCAGGTGAGAAGAGAATACGCGCTGCCTCCTCCGGAAGGACGCGCTCCTTGAAGCAGCGTGATGCCGTGTCGGCATGCACAAAATTCACCTCTGGCATCATGGAATCCCTTTTGCAGGATGGACTGTGTTGAGCTTCCTAGAACAGATGGACTTCGGGGATGGAGCGGAAGATGTTGCGAACTTGTTCGAGCCACACCCTGAGACGCCCGGAACTCGCCACCCAGCCGCTGTGTCTCGCTTTGCTGCGATCTGAAAGGCAGTGGAAGGACTTCATTTCAATGTCCGCGCGGGACATCATGAGGATTCCAGCCTGTGACTCAGATCGATGCGTGACACATCTGGATGTCTGGCTGGTGAGCAAAGTCGAGGACATCACAGCAGAACAGCGGCGGCGACTAGACAAGTACATCACCTTGTTCAATCATGGTATGTCCCTGAGCTGGACACATCGCCCTGGAACGGACCATCCTCGAAACTGTCAGGCCTTTGGCCCCGAGTATCCGCCGATGAGTTTCACCAGCGCTTCGCTGGCAAGCCACTGGTGCGCCCTGAGCGAACTGCAACGAGCTTCACATAGGCACACTTACATTGCATGAGGAAAATGAGGGCAAGCCCTGGACGGCGGAAGAGGATGAACAACTGCTGAAGCTGACTGGGCTGGGAACATAGCTGCGGCTTCTCTGTGCTCTGTACTGCTCTGCTCTGACTGTGTCAAGTGTGTTTGAGGCCTGGTGAGAGCGGCGGCTACGATGCGAGCTTCGGTGACCCATGGCAAGATGCTCGGATATGGGGGTTTCAAGGATGGATCAGAATGACTCTGAATATAGTCGGATATCAGGATCTATGTCTCTTGGGAGATGCAGAGGCGTGAGGCCTTCGACTCTACAGCATTTGCGATCAAGATGTGTGAATTGTGCATGTGCAGCCGCTGTTTATGCAGTGCCAGTCTCCAGGACGATGTGCAGCAGCGTTATGTCGACTTGGTCGTGCGGCCGAAGGAAAGAGCGGCACGGCACGAGCTCGCCATCACGAAGGTGAGTGTCTATGTCTCTGCGTGCATTTCCGGCTGCACTCATGTGACGCTTGCTGAATCGAAGGCCTCCCGACCTCTGCATATGCATCGGAGGCGAGCTCTGAGGTTGTTGGTGGTACCAGGAGTAATCATGCCTCATGCCAGGTTCCGGATGATGCCGCCGGATTTGTACATTGTGCCGTCGCAGGATCGCACCTGGAGGGGCAGAGGGCGATCTTTTGCTAGCCTTTGGCCACTCAAACATTTTCAGCCTTTACCAGCTCAATGAGTTCAATGAGTTCAATGCGCAGTGTCACAAGCCTCAGCAACGTCGAAGCGGCAGACAATGTCCAGGCATGGGCACACTGACAAGTCCGCACGTCGCGCGTTCTGCCTTCACTTTACAAACACATTGCCTCAAAATCCCCGACGTTCTGACACTGCCAAGCCAAGCCAAAGGGGTGGGCTGCTCAAGCTTGCTTGTTTTACGGCAGTCACGGCAGGACAACTTTCCGCTGGCAGAGCACCTCGGACTTGAGAAAGAGGGGCCAGCTTTGATGGGCGAGTCTTATGATGCTTTTGAAAGTTTGGCGGCCTGTGCCAGGCGAGCATTTGAGCTGCCTGAGGCCTTCAAAAAGTATCGTCAAGATGACATCTTTAAGGCGTAGAAATCTGTGAATTTCGCAGCCACGGAGCTGCACACCAGCGCGGTGAAAGCTATGCAGCTATGCAGCTATGCCGATGCATTTGCCCGCACACATTTGCATCTTCAAGTCTCTGTCTAAGAGCTCGTTTGCAGGCAGCAGGACGAAGCGTGTCGCAATGTGAGACATGAGCTGGCTCACTTGACCAGAATCCTGATGCCATGGTTCCCAACATTGCCACAAAGACGTCCCTGTGGGCCCTGCCTGCGACTTGATGGGGTGAGGGAGATGTAATGAGATGGGAGACAGCAATCATGCTTCCTGATTGTTCAGTCGCTGCTTCAGCCAAGGGTTGAAGGACAGCAGTAAACAGATGTGTTTGTCAAAACTTTGTCATGCAGAGTGTTGGCGGTTTCTTCAATCTCGGAGACTTCGAGCCCAGGCCGCAGGTCCTTCTGTCGCTTGGCCGCTCTCGACGATGGGACGCTCGCCGAAAGAAGCCGAATTTAATCACAAGACATAGGCAGGCCGCAGCCTTTTCTAGGCTTTCCGAAACAATCGCCCCAAAGCCGGTGGAGCAGTTTATCTTTTGGGGGGTTGGAAATGGTTGGACTCTGATGCTTCAGAAAGGTCGAGGCGCTCGTGGAGCTGGAGCGCGCTCTGTCGGCACCCTCCTTCCAGAAGGCACCAACGACTTCGATTATCATCATTCAGTAATTTCAGATATCAGATATTCTTCTATGATTCTGACTATGTCATGAGTCTTACCACAAAAGCTAGCGTAGCTAGGCTTGAGTTCTGCTTTGCTTTGGCAGACAGACCGGTCGAAGCCCTCAGAGTTGCACAATAATTTGGGGACGGGGGGGGGGGGGGGGGGTTTCAATATCGCAGTCTGTGTGAGCGCGTGTCCAGCCGTGTTCTTATCTCAAGCGTGTGTTCGCTGTCTCCGTGAGCGCAGGTTGCTCACGTCATGCTGTAACAAGCAGGAAAATCGAAAATTCAGCTCAGCCCAGGCCTATCAACAATACATAATAATACTAGCACATTTGGTCATTTGGGGTGTATTTGAGGGTGACGTGGGGATCTCGAGCCATAGAAGGCGGTCTGTGAGAGCACGTGTTCGTATGTTTTTTGATTTCAGCGCATGTTTGGGAGAGCTCCGCCGCGGACCTGGATCGCTGTCTCCGTGAGCGCATGCTGCTCAAAATTTGCCCTGCGCGCGTCTTTGGGCGACTTTGCTTACTACATGCGCTTGTTTGCTTATGGTGCGTGATCGCTTACTGCGGTTGTTTTGCTTATTGGTGTGTCCTCGCTTACTCACTATATGCGGTTGTGTCGCATGATGGTGCGTCTTCGCTTGCTATATGCCGTTGTTTTGTGTATTGGTGCGTCTTCGCTTGCTGTAAACTGTATGCGGCTGTTTTGCTTGTTTGTGTCTCGCTTACTTAATGCGTTTGTTTTGCTTCTTGACGCGTCTTTGCTGACGGTGCTGTTGTTTGCTTATTGGTGTAGCTTTGCTCACTATACGAGGTTGGTTTGCTAATTGGCACGTGCTCGCTTGCTGAATGCACTTGTTTGGCTTGTTGGTGCGTCTTCGCTTACTACAATTATGTGGTTGTTTTGTTTAATGGTGCGTCCTCAACTACATACTTCGTACGAAAAGTAATAGTAATTAGTCGAGCACTACTACTAATTACTTCATAAGTTCAATATGAATACGAAATAAACGACAACTTGGATACACTGAGATTCTTGTTCCAGATCTACAAGTATACAATGGTCATGATTAATGACATCTCAGTCAAATACTCTGGAAATATTCATTAGCACAATTTGCAATCCAAGCTCTTTGGGGGAATCTGTGGGGAAGTTGGGTTTTTGGATGCTCCGGCTTAGGGCAAAGTGCTTCGCATTTGAATACGAGGTACAGACTTCAACAAATACTTTCTGAGAGAGGAGTTCAATATGAATGAAGCACTGATCAGACTACTTGAAAGCATGCATTCATTAATACTAAATGGCATACAAAACGAATTTGAAATGCACATTAACCAGAAAGTACTAGACTACGATCTAAGTATCAAAGATATTTTTGCCTAGAAATTCAATAGAGACTGATTGAATTGTCCAACACTGCTAGAATACTACTGAAAGGACTACTTAAATGCAAGCAAAAGATGAACGACGATACGAACTTAATACTCAACACGCGATATTGTCTCAAGATCATGACATTCGATACGTTGAGTGCATGGCTGTCCCAGGCTTCTAAACCAATAGCCTTCTGCTTTCGATACGGATTACGGAGAAGGCTTGATTAACCATGCTCAGCTCATGCCTCCAAGAGTGTCCCGTCCTCTATGAAAACAGTTCTGCTGCTATTCGCGCTTGGGATTGTCTTTGGGATTGGTGTTGCTATCGCTACGGCTTTTACTATTGCTGATGGCTATCTGCGACTTTTATTTGTTATTGGTATTGTACGATTGCTATATGCGATTCTCATTGTCATGTTTCTATTATGAGAATTAGTATGCCATTCAAGCCACGAGGCAAAGCGACCATGGGCCGTGCACACAGCCTGTGTCAACGCAGCACTGACTGCCTGCCGCCTTGGCAGAGCATGGCAGGCGCAAATTTGACACACGTAGAGGGCAAGTGCCACTCACACTCAGTAATTGCTGTAAGACCTGCCATAGGTGGCTTTAGAAGCCTTGCAGAGACTGATTCGTGGTCGAGGCTGGCTCAATCATCGTGATCGGAGCACGTGCATGAGATTTCCCTTGCGCAGTGTACCAGAAGTCACGAAGGGTCGACACCGAAACCTGACCACATCACCTTCGCCAGCTGCATCCTCGCCAGCCTGTCGGAACTCACAGCAAGCTTTCGGCAACTGCGCTTTGTCTGACCCCTTGAGGCACTGTCTGGGACGAGCACGGAGCCGAACAGCCGAACAACGAGAAGCTAAAGGAACGTGGCAGTTGGCTACTTCGTCTCAGGTCGCTGGGACATCGCCTTTGCGCTGATGGAGGCTTGGCCAAGGTCTGAGTGCCACATCAACCGTCATGAGCCCACACATGTCCCATCAACTGCACGCGAGCAGGTCATGCGATCACACCGGGTCCACATGACGACTGGAGTCTTCAATGCCGGCAGTCTGGCTGTTTTGATTGAGCACGCTTGTCGTTTGTCATTGGTGCAGCTCGGTTGCTCATCTACCTGCATTGAAGGCTGGCCTCATTTGTTTGCAACGCTCGCGGCAGTGGCAGGTGCAAGCTGCATGCAAACGTGCGAGGCGTCACGTGGCCTGGGTCATCATCCAACCTGCAAGGCTGCTCTAGAACTGCTTCGAGGCATGGATGACGAAGCCAGCGCCTGCCTCAGATCGTCCCCAAAATCACCACGCATCAGGCAGGGCAAGCTCTCAAGTTTTTTGTGCCGAGTCCGGCCAGACCTAGTGAGCCAGTGCCTTAATGGTTCAATGAGTGTTTTGCAACTGCCATGGACACCTACAACTCAGGCCTGAACTCCGTCATGGCCTCCTGCAGCAATGCGACCATGAGCCACTGGCCGCTGACTCTGGTCCTACTCCATGAGGTGCAAACCTTCATAAACGCTTCTCTTCACACGGAGGTTAATTTAAGCCGCTAACGCGAAGCCGCCTCGGCAAGGGTACCAGGCGAAGTGAGGGTTCACGAGAAGTGGGGAAGATGCTGCAGGAGAGGAGTCATGGAAAGTTCAAGACGCAAGGGTGGGCAGGGTGGGTGGAGGTAGGTGGGGGGGGGGGGTGTCTCACATCCGGTCCCTTATGGTGGCCCGAAATCTCCCTTGGTCCCGGCATGTCGTCCGCATCTGGACACTGGTCGGCTAGGCCTGGGGTGCTAAAAAAACTCGCCCGCGCACTTGGTGCCTAGCAGGGTGGGTAAACTATGAAAAGTTCCCTAGGTCTGGATCCAAACGCCTGCGGCCTCCGGCTTCACCGGATGTCCCGTTTAATTTAAGTTTTCGTTGCACTTCTTGCTTTGCCTGCTACTTGCCGGTTTCCGGAGGCTCGAGGGAGGCAGGGCATCGGACCGCTGCCCCATGCCCAGACATCGTGACACCGTGCCTGGACAGGCTGTGCTACACAGTGCCAAGGTCCACGGTGAGCTACAACACCACGATGGCAGCTTGCGGGAGTGGGATGCTCACACACTGCTTTGCTTATTTTCATGTCATGGTCTCCACACTTCACACTGCTACACCCTACTGGCCCATGCCTTTTTCGGAGTCTAGCCGGGGTCGGCGGCCATGGGCCACAGCACTCCTGGCTATCCTGGCTTGGGTTTCGATCAATGTAGTCTTGAGCGAGCATTTGCCCTTTCACAAGAGATCTCTCAAGCAACCAGTGTGGCATGGAGACATGACGAGAGATAACGTTTGTGAGGCATGCCGTGAGGTCGTTCCTGGTGCTATCAGACATGATGCTAGCTGGCGCTGAGGAGCATCCTTATGGCACACAAGCTTGTGCCTTCTGGAGGCTTGGGCACCGATTGCTTGGTTCCAGCGGGTGTTCTCACGGACTTTCTCTGACTCCCTGTATCTCTGTATTGTGGCTGTGAGACTTCAGCTTTTAAGTGCAGGAGCTCCGCGGTCGGGTTGACACAAGGTCTGGACAAGGCACGGCTTGCCCTTGCCCGCTATGAGATGACCATGACCATATCCGACGCTATCTGATGACCTTTGCGTACCTTCGCCCTTCCTCTCGTGAAGGACGTGCGCGGGTGCAGCTGCAAGGAGCTCCCGTGCTTCTGCATGCGTCCCAGACCTTTGCAACCATCAGGGCTTGCCGTGGCTAATTTAGTTTTCTGACTCCACAAGAGATGCTGACACATGCTGACTTCTCACCACAAAGGTTGGACGAGGAAAGTTCACCCCACCCTGACAGAGGCTACATGCCTCATTCGCCCGTGCTTTTTTCAGATGGATGTGCGCCAGGCTGTCCGGAGGCCATGCAATCCCTGCTGCCGGGCTCGGCCCGAAGTCACACGGGGCTGACAGGGCGGACAGGGCGGTGCACGGCGGTTGAAAGAAATGGGCTCAGGTTGCAACGCCACGCTGACCGGCTGTGACAGAGCGTCGCACTGGCTCAAGGCAGATGCAAAGTAGCGGCTCAGCGTCTGGCTCTCCTGGACAGCTTTCGAATTTTCGTGAGTGATGAGATGCTGCTTCATTTCCCAAACAGTCCGTTCACACCAAGTGTTCCGACGTGTAGGGCGAGCGGGGCTAGGTCGATGTCACCGCGCTGTGCGTGCAGAGCGGACAGGCCGTGCTCGCCGTGCCCCAGCACTGTCATCGCTTTTTGGCTTCTCGAAATGCGGAATCCCGGAACTGTCGTCGCTTTCCGACGCGTCGCTCACGAAATGCGATGCGGTTAGACTCTGGGCTCGCATGGTTTCTCACTGTTTGGGTTGTCCGCTGGCGTAGTGACGCGGCTGCATGTTCTGCAAGAGATGCGTGCGTTTTTCAAGTTGTAAGTTGCAAGTGATGAATAATTGAGTAAGTGGATGAAGTAGTCCGAAAAGTGTAAGGATGCCGAAAGCTTGAGTTGCTCGCGTCTTGCTCGAGCTCTTGTCAGGCTTTGAATCTTTTAGCAGCCATGCATCGGGGCAAGGACTTTTCAATGAGCGGAGCCATCTTTCATCGGTGATGCACATTGCCGCTTCGTTCCAAGCCAGGACTGGCCGCGCCCAGACGCTGCCTCCTCAGGCTGACGGACGGGCTGGCGACCAGAGTACACCCTTTCAAATCGTGCTCATCATTGAACTCTTAAAAGGTTGTCAGCTACAACGCTTGCATCAACGCTTGTGAGAAGGCAGGGCCGCTGTCGCTGATCTTGGTGCCGTCGCTGTGGAGTGGGAAAAGCTGCCGCGATCGAATGCCGAGGTTACAAGTTGGACGTGGGCAGGGACCCTAGCTGCCCTAGCTTGGAGCTTTCAATGAGCCTCGGGCCTGCGATGTTGTGCAAAGCTCGTTACACTGCAGAGGCTCTTCATCTTCTCGCATCAATGCAGGCGGGTGCTTTTGTCAAAGAGTCAAGAAGCAGAACGCCCATACACCACCTATTTGACGTACCTGCCGCACAATTGCCTGGTTTGCCTGGACGCCCAGGACTCTGGGCAATTTCCAGATGCGATTAGCCTGAATAGCACTGCATTGGCTCTGACAAGGTGTGGATGGAGAGTCATGTGGAGAGTCATGTGGAGTCCTTGTGTCTTCACTCGTCGTTCTCTTGGCTGTGCTAGGGCGACCCACTGGCAGACAGGGCTGGGGCTGCTTTGCCGATGCCTCTGGCATCAATGACAGCATGCAGAGCTGTGCTATTCTGAAGCGTACCGAAATTTTCGAAACCCTTCGCATTTGTTTTTATCAGAGGCCTTTCCAGGAAGCGCTCCCTTGAGCTGAACGTCCCTTCCTCAGATTTCTGCGCTTTCGCAAGGCCATTTCTTGGATTCTTCTCGATTCTCTTTGTGTCCTTTGTCTATCTGATTCGAGCGTTGATCTGAGCGCTGTGAACATGCAAAGCGTGTCCGCGAAAGGAAAGTCCAGATGCAAGTCTTGTGTCGCAGCATGTCGCAACTCGCAACTGGCAACTTGCACCTCTTAACCGGATGCGAACCCTTCCGGAGTCCCAATTCTTTTGGCACATCTTCGCCTCAAAGAATGAGACACAGCACAAGACCAAGGCATCACATGTGTCCTGTGAAAGACACAGCAACAGGAAAGTTACATGATGAGTCTACCGTATTTGCGCCTTCGGGCCTTCGGGAGCCCCCTATTTCTCCTTTCCCAGAGCCTTGCCAGGCCGTCAGCAGCCTCATCATTGCCTCTGTCTGTGGTCAGGGAGGCTTTTGGCAGGGGGCGCCCTCTCCCCGGCTATGACCCGGAGAAATAAAACTGAGAGATCCCACAAATGCTAGCGACTCTTTCCTGGCCCAAGGCTGTCGGAGTTCCGCGCCAGGCTCCTGAATGCTGGTGCAGAGTTGGTGCAGGCACATGGCAGGCCCACTGAGTGATGGCCGCATGCCGAGGAGCGGTGGGAGGATCTGCGAGACGATCCTGTGACGCAGCGGAACCTGTACAATGCCACAATGAGTGCTTGTGAGCAATCACGCCGCTGGAGGGAGGTGGCCCTTTGCGGCACATGGCAGCACTATCAGCGAAGCTCAGGCTTAGACTTAGACTTGTCAGCGCTGCCTGTGCAGGTCCTTGACCTTCTGTTTCAGCGCTCGAACTCGCTGGCGCGGGACCAGGTCCAGCTTGGCAGCGCAGTGCAGTCTCTGGATGCACGTTACACCTGCACAATTTCGTGATGTTGCATGAGTTGGCGTGCGCCATCGTTCGCCATCGTTCTCCATTGTCGTGTGCCATCGTGCGCCTCTTCGCAGGTTGCCATCAACACCGCAGCGAGCGCTTGCGCCTTGCACTGGGAAGTGGCCCTGGAGGTGCTCCAAGCACACAGGCCTGTGAGAACCCAGACAACTAAAGTTAACTAAAGGTCTTAAGTGAATCCGGAGCAGCATCTTGCGGCTCCTCGTTACCTCTGGCATAAGAGTTCAGCGGCTGGCCTTCGCTCTCTCCCTGCGTGATGCAAGATATCTCTAACATTCTCTAAACCGTGCCATTTTCCAGCAGACGTGCCTCAGAATCTGTGGCTGTGGTTCAGGAACCGAGTCCTTGTTGCATAGCACGGCTTTCGGCTTGTAGCATGGTATGGTGGACAAGCCATTGCACTGTCAGGGGCGTTCAGTATCGGCCACTCTAAGAGTAGCGGGCTCCAGAATATGTATTGATCCGCGACCACTGAAGGGCACAAAACTGGAATGTCTCTGGGTCCTCACTCCCGCCTCACCGCCCCATGTTGGGCTCCTTGCACCTTTCACCACCCCGGAGGACTGCACCAGCTTCAGATCCTGAAGGCATGGCTGCAGACTTGATTCGGGAAGAAGCGAGCAGTCGCACAGCAGGTGCTGCAGGCTTCGGTGCCGTGGTTCTTGTGCCGTACCCAGTTCCCAGCCAAAGCAGCAAAGCCGGCCAAGCAGCTGCCGTTGCTGCAACCTACTTGCTTGCAAATTGCTTGCAGGGCTGTTCTGCAGCGGCAGCCTGGGTCTGGGTCCGGTTCTCATGATGTCATTTGATGGAGCTTCTGCTTTCCGAATCTGAGCAGCTTTGAGGCAGTTCGCTTGTTCCACCGTGCCAGTCGGCAACAAGGCACACCATGGCACACCATGATTCTCCATACCTCAGAAGTTGCTTCGCATTGCTCCGCCTGTCTGTATTAAGTTGTGCTAGAGGATGGTGGACAAAGCCCGCTGCCGCACATGTCGGTGGCTTGGCTGTGGCCATGCTAGGGGCCGTGCAGGCCTGCGAGACCTCTCTTCAGGCACGCCCTGGCAGACGTCTGTGCTCGGATTTGTTACATGCTGGTTACATGGTTGGGCTCAGATTGCAGGGGCCAACGCTGCGCCGATTGCTGCAGCACCTGTCCAATCCTCACGACTTCGCCCCAGATGGTCGAGGGATGTGAGGGAGGTGCTTCGGTGGAGGGTGTCGCAACTCATGCAGCAAGGCGTTAAGCGGTGCCCAGCTGCTGCTTTGGGAGTTGGTGATCCCTTCGCAAGGCCATGAAACTGGAATTCGACACCTCATAAAAACAACGTCCACGGCGGTAGGTCTCAAAGATGAAGGGCTTCGAGCAGAGCTGGCAGACATGCTCCACAGGCCAAAGTGTCCATGTTTTTGTGCCGTGCTTGCGGCTCTCGGAATCCGTGTGCATCGTCGAAGGCATAATTTGAGCACCGGCCTCAGAACAGGTTAGAACAGGTTGCACATGCGCTGGTTCAGAGCTGGTTCCGTTGAGTCAGAGCTGCAACTGTGTGTGCGGTGCGAATCAGAGCACAAAGTGGTGTGCCTAGTGTGCTGCATCTGTTAAGATTTTGAAGCATCAGGCCCGCCAAGGGCATTTCACTCGGAGCTCAGGTGATGGACATGCACCTGTGTGCCGAAGGCCCGCTGAAGACTCCCTCACATTGCTGATGTTGCTGCCATGCAGGCTCCAATCCGCATCAGCATCTGCTCTGCGCAGACTTCGGGCCTCCGACGTGCACCAGTCCGTGGGCCAGGGGCTTGTGGGCAATGGCATTCCTCCGCTCTCTGCTCTCGAAGTGTCCGAAAGCGAACCCTTCGCACAGGGTTCCTGTTTCAAAGGTTGAGGTTCCTGGGGACCAAACATTGTTGCGTTTGCGTCCGCGAAGCGCCTGCAAGCGTTCGCGAAGCGTCTGCGAGTGTCGCGCCGAGCTGTACTTTCTGTAGTGCGGAAGCCTGCGTTTGGCATCGTTTAGCTCTAAACGTGCTGAGAGTTACAAGGATGAGGGCCCTGAGGTTCTCCATCCTCGTAACTGTCCTTGCTTTTGGAGCTTCTTTGTGCATTCAACGCATCTCTCTCTCTCTCTTCCGAAAAACCTGCGCCCAGAATCCAGCGGCAAGTTTCACGCAGATTGAGACATGCTCCGGGCGGGCTTAGTGCGCGAGGGCGAGTGCGCCCTTCAAGCCTTGCAGAAGAAGCAGAAGAAGCAGAAGAAGCAGAAGTAGAAGAAACAGCAGTAGGAGGCTCATCAATAGTTGGCCACATGTGATGAAGTGACACTTGGCAAGAGGGGATGCTTCAATCTACCAGGCGTTGCGGTCGCCTCACTTCACAACAACATGGTGGCGTGCCTGGAACGCGGGGGCTGACCCCACTACCCCAGAGAAACGAAGAAAGAAGGAAAGAAAGAAAGAACGAAAGAAAGAAATAAATAAAAAGAAGAAAAGAAAGAAAGAAAAGAGAGCAGCCGGGGTGCCACCAAGTGAAACCCTCCCACCACCAACACTGACCTAGTTGAAAACAGTAATTTTATCTGCACAACAGTTCCCGTCTCATTACACTGTGCAGAGTCGCTGGGGAGGATGCGGGAGGGACCCCATAAGGCCATACTGTATCATTGGCAGTCAGTAGCTCAAGCAACCAACAGCGACCATCCTGAAAATAGCAAGTCACGTCATGTTCTGCAGCTCGGATGGGCGCGCAGGCAAAGGGGAGAGATTAACTAGATGGTTTAGTACTTGTTCCTCAAGATAAACCACGAGGGCAGATAGAGGGAGCCCCCCAGTGACCCAGTCGACCTGCATCCCAGATATCGTCTCACCACACTGCCCCACACGCGCTCACTTATGCCGGTCAGGAAGCCGTAAGATCCAGACGATTCAACACATTCCGTGCTCTTATGCAAATAGAGAGAGATTTCACAAGCATATTGTAAAGAGCACAGAGAGGCAGTGTGCGATGCGGACATTGGAGATGAGGCAGTTTAGAAAAGAAGCAGATTGATCATCGGACACATTCGTTCGGAGTTCGCGTCGCGCTGCGTCTGTTGACTTCGCGGTGCACGCGGCACGTGTTTGCATTCGGGATCGTGGCACCTCCAAAATTTCTCTTCTTGGAGCCACACGAAACGATGATGTGAGAATACGTGATAGTGGCTCGGACTTGGATGAGGCTTCTGCACAGATGGCCTTGAGCGGCAGTTCCTGCCGGGATCTCTCTCGAGAGGCGTGCTACAAGGACACTACTCCGTGCTCTGCACGTGGAGACGAGTTAGCCGCCTGAGAGGACTCACGCTGACCTCCAGGCATCGCAGCGCGGATCCTGACCAGCCTGACCATGCCACAGTGCGATGATCTTTCTCAGAGCATGCCAGGCATGTGCACGCTCTGCGATGTCGATCTTGCCGCATGTGGCCAGGTCTCAGATGGCCGTACTTGCATGGTCACGAGGAGCGTGCACTGCGCAGCAGGAAAGACATCGCCTGCCTTCCACCAGATGTTGCGAGGTGGTTGCTGTACTAGATGAATTCCTTGTAAGCTCCTGGTCCTGCCGCGCCTGTGGATCGACAGCTGTGACAGTACCAGATGCCAGAAACACAGCTTCGCTTTGCACAAGCAGTCACAAGCATGCCGCATCGAGGCATCAAGGCGCGATCAGGTGCAGGTTACAGCAGGCCTGCTTTCGATTCTTCGAGATGCGAAGATTGGATGGTGAAAGCTGACGACGTCATGGCATAGTGATTGTGGACTTGGATATGGCAAGAACTAGTGACTAGTGTTTGCCCTAGCGTAGCATAAATACATAATACACAGGCGCATAGCTTCATTTTCTGATGTTGCAGCCTCTGGCGCCAGATGCTGAGGACATCCGTTTGCAAGTGCTTGCAGCAGTACTTTGAGTCCAGGGTAGAAGCCCCCCTTGACCAAACGGTGCCTGGAAGTGGGCATAAGCCGGCCTTTCTGTTCATTTTTGTTGGGGCTTGGTGAGAAACAATCTGTCGATGCACGCACCTGACGTTAAACGCGGAACCTCCATTTTCCAACGAGTTTCGTGACGGGGGAGGTTGGCCTTCGGCTTTGATGGCACTTGTGTGTCTGCTCACAACTGCTCGCAATGTCAGCTCTTGTTAAGTTCCGTGTGTCACTTTCGCTGCACGGGGCAACGAAGCAGCAACTGCCGAGTTCTGGAGCTGCAACATCGCGCAACCATGAACTCCATGTCGTCCTCATCTTTCTTCGTTATCCTTGGCTGCGGAAGTTGGGGCGAATGTTTGACAGGAGCTGCCATGGCTGCGCTTGAGACGCCGAGCCTCCGCAGCTCGGCCGTTTTTGCACAGCTTCCTTGTTGCTGCCCTACTCAGCCTGGCAGTCCATGCCATAGAAGCCAGGAGCTCAGGTCTTGGAGTCCTCCATGGCTCAGTTCTGTTCTGGTTCTGACCCAGTAACAGGACACTTAGCATAACACCACTTTGGTACACTTTCCGAACATGCGTGTGGGGTTGAGATCAGAAGGTTCGAAGGAGAGCGTTGGCAAGAACAGCTTGGCTTCCCTCACCCAGGCTTCCCCAGTAGACCTTAGATCTCTCATCCTTCAGCACGTGGTCCTTTCTTGGTAAATCAGACAGTGCAGAAGTACAGCAAACTGGTCTGAAGCTGGGCCATTCAAAGGTTGTCTACTTGGAGGATCTAATTTGCAATGCTCAATGCACCTCACTTCCAATCTGAAGTGGGCATGAGAAGAAATTGCAAAAGCCCACAGCGCTGAGCCGAAAGAGGGGTGTAGCCCACGCGAAGCAACATTCCCTGGCAATTGAGACGCGCAGGGTTACGAGTTAGGAACCTTCTGGGTTTGCTTGGCTCGAAAGGTCCGAAGCTTCACAGCCGGGCCAATATTGGAGGCCTGCCGTGGCGAAGGGCTGCGCGAGTTTTTCCGGCTGCTCAGGAAACTGAAACATCACAAGAGACTTTGTCCGGCAGGTCCGCCGCCGCGTGCGGCTGCAGGCATCTTGCATCATCTTGCCCCAACGCACCGCCAGAGCATGCCAGCACTTCAACTGAAGGGTAGAGGATGCAGAAACGTGCAGAAACAATCGTCTTATCATCCGAGGTATCTAGGTCATGAGGAGATATAGAGAGATGTAGAGAGAGCCTTACAACTTACACGTCCTTGGTCCTCGAACATGTCTAGATGGTCCGAATCTCTCACACCCCACGCGCAGTCCTCGTGCAACCCAACCAGCGAAGCCGTTTATCACGCGGTGCCCAACTAGTGACTAGGCTCCTGCAACAGCCGATGATCGGGTGCTGGTGGCAGAGAGAGATCGCAGGCTCCACTGCTATGAAGCCCACACATCCTTGATTGTTGTTAGTTCTTGAAACTCCTGTGCAGGTCTGATGCCGGCCGCTCATCGAAGGCTCAATTTTTGTACTACTCTCTGGCCTCTGGCATCTCACACTTGGCATCATTCGCAAAGCTACGCCCCCTTTGTTGCTTCAGCTCATTGATCCTGCAATGGTAGCTCTACCATGCTCTACCTATGCTATGTGGAAGTTCTCTGCAAGTGTGTAAGTGTGTGTGCCCATCTCTGTTACCAAGAGCCTTGCTCAAGCAAGGGGCCAGGCTTCCAGTGACTGACCTGACCCAACGACGTAACACCCCGCTTCGAGCACTGGTTGAAACGTTTCAAAGCATGAGTCCTTATTCAAGCACGCACGATTCGAGCAAAAGACCTGATTCAAGCGTGCTTCGCGCGAGATTCAAGCACCAATCCCGACTCGAGCACTGCCGATTTTACCCACCCCACTCCCTCGACTTTTAAGGTTACGGTTTTCGAGCCCAAGGGTGTTTATGGCTTATTAGGGGTTTTAGATGGTTTTACTCGTCGGTTTCATGGGCTGTTAGGATTAACAGCTTGTAGTAGGCTTTTAGGGTCTGAGGGTTGTTAGGATGATTTTCAGGCTTTAGGGTTTGGGGGTTTTGCGCGAGGGTCAGGGTTTTGAGGGGGCTTTGGACGGGTTAATTCAGGGTCTTGACTTGCACGTAGCCTTTCAAGGACGTCACGTTTAGGGTTTCTTCAAGTTTAGAGTGTTCAGGCCTGAGGGAGTTTATGGCTTAGGCGCTTCAGGGTTTTCGGGGTTGTGCCCGATTTATGCTTCATCGTTCTTATGGCTAGGGCTTTAGGCTCGAGGGTTTTCGTGCTTACGGTTTACCTGGTGGAACCCGTGCTTTTTTGTTGTGAGTGTTTTTTTGCTGTGGGTGCTTTGTTCAATACATGTGCGTGTGTGTGTGTGATCAGCACGTTGCGGGGTCATCCGAAACTGTAGGCAAGCTCCTTCAGAATATATGATGATGTTGATGATGATGAAGATGTTTTATCAATGGTGAGATGCTTCCCCCTCCTCCACTGCTCCGCCTGCTGCGCCAGGACCGATCAATTCAGCCCCTGTCGTGGCTGCAGAAGCCCAAGCCACCAACGTTGAGAGCTCGGAGTCTCCTATGTCTAGACATCCTGAGACGGATGCCGAGTGACGCGTGAAGTAGCCCAGGTTGCCAGCGAACCTCTTCAAGCCCAAGGAGAGCTTGTCACAGACCTTCCTAGCAGACCCGAGCCTCGGCAATGCGGCCACGCATGGCGTGCGAAGAGACCCAACCTGACTCAACCTGACTCAACCATGAGAAAGACTGGGCCGCTCACAACTGGTTTCTATTTCTGAAGCGTAGCACCCAAGCTGTCTTCATTTGACAGGGGCTTTTATTTATCGCAAGTTGTTTGCAAGGTATTGTCTTCCCTGCCAGCGGCTTTGTAATCCAGCCCCATTTGCACATAACACAGGAGCGTTTCAAATCAACTTGTTTCAAAACAACACCAGCTGTGAGGAATTCTTGAGATTGCAGCTTGCTGATCTGTTTTTGTGGGGTTGCTAGATTTCATGTCAAGTATGCTCCTCGCATCCGCACATCCTTGCCCAGTGTACCGCTCGGTCTTGCGGACTTGGTCCCTTGAGTGCCCACCGCCAAGCGGCAACCGCAGCCGAGAGAGGCGCAGGGTCCAGAGAAGCCCACAGAGATCGGAAAGTCATGCAACAGAAGCTTTTGGCGAAGTGTCCTGAATTCCCGGTCCGAAACAGAACAGCATGGTTTGCCGATGATCGAGTCAAACTGCCTTCTTGACCCTGGAAGAACCTGGACATTCCACTCCTCTCAGCTCACTCGCAGTTGCTCACCAGAAACTCACAAGCTCGGCACCGAGGAACTACATCTTCAAGATGGGTCAGTCCGTCCTGATTCGCAAACTTGTCGGATCTCTCTTCGGACTGTGGATGCCAGTTTCCGAACTGGATGACGAGTCCGAGGGTGGCAAGCGTCTGATCGAACTTGGGCAACGGGCCCAGAGCACAAACGGGGGCTTTTGCTAATGCATGAGCCTCCGGGCACGAGCCTCGGCACGAGCTTGACAGGCCCGGTACGGGAGCCATAACATCGAGGCTGTGGCAGAGATACCCAGAGGCTTGTCATATCTTGAATTATCTTGTCATTGCAATTCCTTGGAGACGGGTGAGACTGACTTGGCAATGATCGCTTGTGATCCGGCAATGACAGATGGTGGGCATCGAGCTGGACCAACGCGCTATGCGCGTCCTTGCCCAGAAAGTGCCTGGAGCCACGGTGCCTGGACTGAATGGCTTTGTTTGTAAAGACAGGTGCATAAGCATTGTGGAAGCAGCCGTCTTGCACAGGTGATTCGGTCGGATGTTCTGATGGTGAATTACACCAGGCTTGGCCATGAGGTACAGACACTTAGGGATGACCCAGGGCCACGATTTCAAGTCACATGTAGGCCGCGCCTCCATGTCAGAACTTATCAGCCGTACTACTGGCTGAATGAGTGTCCTCCCATCCTGTACGGTGCGGTTGCATCATTGCAGAGGCAACCTCGAGGCGTTAAACAGAAATCGGCTTGCTTGCCGTTGTTAAGCGCAGCAGAGCACTTGAATCAACCAGCTTGTGGCCATTGACGATAAGGGTTGCGAGCTTTCCGGATTTGTCCACTGCTTTGCTCCAGAGGCTTGCGGAGCTGAGAGGCGGACCGCTGTCAATTGTTTGGGGCCCAGCAAGTCGGGACAAAGCGCAGGGATTGTTCAGAAATTGTGTGCAGTAATTCTCATCTGAGAAGGTCAGTAACCTTCCATTTCACGTGGCTTCGCAGCTACTGTTCACGCTAGCTGACCACGCAGATGGAGTGCCCCCCTCCCTTTCGCAGAGGGGCCAGGGTTTGAAGTGCTTGAGTAGACAGGGGAAAGTAGCAAAGGGCAGGTGGAAGTTCACCGGTTCAGGTACGCAATGCGCACGTCATCCTGCAGCAGGAGGCTTCCGTGCATGGATGCGGGCTTAAGATTTTGGGATTGCGTAGCGTACAGCCTATGCCATCTTCGTATTCCGGTCGCGGTTCCAAGCAGTGTCCCCCAATGTCCAATGTCCACATCAGAGCAGATGTCTCGCATCAAGCAGACTCCTGCGGTTGAAGGTTGCTCAGCGCATTGTTGCAAAGCCAAACAGCGGGACTCTGAGACTCATCTTGACTCTTAGTCCTCACAGCTCTTGACTCCGCTGATGAACCAGGCAAGAAGTACGGCATTCCCAGTGTGGTGTTTCAGCTGTGCGCCGGCTCAGAACGTGCTGCATGCTGCTCCTTCCGCCTGAACAAGTGAAGGTATGCTGACCCGAAGATCTTGTTCCACCTGCCGCCAACAGCATACTTTCCAAGACCCAATGCCCGAACCTTGGCCTTGACACGCTTCTGGGGCATCAACTCAAAAGCGGAAAAGTCGACGAAAAAGATGTGCTCGCCTACCATAGCGAGGCTTTCGTTTCTATTACTGCGTTGGCAGCGGGGCGTGGACGCCGCATGGAGCAAAACCCCCTCCCCTGCCTCCCGAGAATCAGGGAAACGTCCAGATGGGCCACATTACAACCAGAGCAGTCATGTTACAACTGAACAAGCCCCAGAAGCGAGATCCAAATATGAATGCGACTCCTAGACAACACCACGAAGATTCTTGAAATGCTGTTTGTAATTCGCACGTCTCATCGCGCTTTAGGAAGTGTCAGAATGACGAGCTGGCTCGGAGTGGAGCGAGTCGAGGGCTCGCGAGAAGGTACCAATGGCAGGAGGAAGGTCCCTGGTGTCCTTGCCTCTAGAGTTTCTATAGAGGCTGCCAGCACGGTTGCCAGGGGTAATTCTCCAAATCGGATTAGCTTTTCTTGAAGCACGGTTGGAACATGATGCGCTGGTTCCCGGGTGGTGTACCGAGAGGCTTTCTAAAGGTCCACTGGTCACAAGCCAAAAGAAGTACCCCGAAACCCAACATTCGCGACCGCGTTCCTGTAGGTGTGGCCGAGGAACCCAGAAACTTCCGCTCTCCGTTCAAAAGCCTCTGGGTACGGGAACTGATGCGAATTTCATACAGCTGTGGCACAGGAGCTGTACAGAAGGCAGTGTTTCATGTGGTCATCAAGAGCAGTCAGCCGTGGCCTGCGTATGCCGCCGTATGCCTGCGTTTTCCGGGAGAGGTCATGACTTCATACATAAAGCTGGACTTCGAGGCGGCAGCGGAACGCAGAAGAGGCATCAAACTCATCAAACATTCTTCTGACCTTCGCTGCTGCACCTAAGCTTCACACCTTCTTTTGTCCATTCAATGCAGCGATTGAGTGTCTTGGGCGCTCTCAGCTCTGAATGTTGACCCTCGTGATCTTCGCAACCTCACGAACACCGCATTCAGATACCGGCGGAAAATGCGACTCGGCTTGTTCATGCTTTTGTTTTGAAACTAGTATAGAATTTACATATAGAGATATGGCCCGAGGGCATGGACAGGACAAGCAGCGCTTTGATCGTGTCTAAGGATGTCGAACTCGTTGAGTCGAATCCTGGAAGCCGAGCTGGCTTGTGGAAGCTGATTCTGAGAGAGCAAGTCTGAGCAAATGCTGAGCAAAGTGTCTTAGGACCACTGCGACCGATGCGACTGACCTGCCAGTGCCACACGACATTGATCAACAAGCTGCCTGAAGAGTATGCCAAGCTCCGACCAGAGCAGTTGCCGACTTGGAAATGAGTGGCCGCAGAAGTGGCAGTGTGCGGCAGTGTTGTCTTGCGTGCAGTTGTTGAAGGATTGAGCCATGGGAGTTCGTGCACCTTACACAGCTCATCTTTGGAAAGAAGGCGGGTGGGGGTGGGAGACGTTGTTCATCCTGTGTGATCTTCTAGATCAGCTGCGCGTGCTCGCAGAATCGTGGCAGGAGTTCCCAAAACACTTCCGCCGGGCTTGGCGAGGGGAGTTCGGGCGAACGGCTGGGACCTCTATGGATCCCACGTCCACAAAGAATCAGAATTTGAGATGCTACTGCTAGTGCACGAGGAATTTTAGTCTTTTGACTCCCGACTGAGGTTCGAGAGTGAGGGACGCCGAGCGCAGACAGCAAAATCCGGGTGAATGGTTCGGTCACACAAGTCTTGATTGGGACCTGCCGTGTCGGGCCTGCCGAGCTGTGCTGCACCAAATCCACGTTGCAAAACATTGGCTCGGAGAAGTCGACCTTATATGACTCAGTACGACTCCATGACTGCAAGAAGGTCTTGTTAAGAAAATTTCCCACTGCCGGATGCACCCAAGATGTAGCGAACTATAATGGTATCTGCAGTTACAAGTGAAGGATGGGAGGGTAGCTATGTGAAAAATTGAACATGCAGTAGATGCAGCTGAACGTATCAACTGACCAACAATAGCTTCATGTGAGCCCTGCTTTCCTTTGAGGGTACAGCAGGGCCCCATGGATTTCTTGTCTGGTGACGGCCGTATCTGATGGCCGCGCGATCAGACCGAGGTGATCGCTATGCCACCAGACATGACAGGAGCCGTTCCTACCGAGATCGGAGAGAGGCTGTAGACCGAGGCCATGGCAACCCTGGCAACCATTACGGGAACCAGCATCAGGCCTTCCGAGATCGCCACGACCGGGACAACCGGGACCGGGACAACCGGGACCGGGACAACCGGGACCGGGACAACCGGGACCGGGACAACCGGGACCGGGATGTTCGGGACAACCGGGACGTCCGAAACGAGGAGCTCCCAGCCCTCAGACGTCCGGATCCCAGACATCGTGAGGGGAATGCACGTGGCCGTCCTCCAGACCTTGTGAGAGGCTATGACGAGCCCCGTCATGATTCCCGATACGGCTATGGGAAAGGTGGTCGGCATGACAATTATGCGGATGATCGGCAGGATCGGCAGGATCGCTACTCTCGGCAGACAGATCGCTACGACCAGCCTGACTGGGAGAGGTTCGAAGACAGGGGTCGGTTTCGGGAGAGACATGCCCAGAATCCTGAGCGAGACAGGCCAGACCGACCTGATCATCGGCATGATCAGCGGCCTGATCATCGGCCTCACCATGAGCGCGATGGGGACCAGCGGTTTGATAGGGAACGCTTCGACCGCCGTCCAGATCGAGACCTCGACCGGGAGCACGGCTTCCGTGAACGGTCTGGACAGGCCAGCCAAGGTGGGCATGGTGGGCGGAGGCACCAAGATGAATACGACATGATGCATCACAGACATGGTGAAGAGCGCCGTGTAGATCATCGCGAAGCGGAGCATCACGGCAATTCCCAGGATGTGGCTAACCACTCGAGGAGCCGTCGAGTGCGCAAGGTGCAGTTCAAAGAAAGGCAGATAAGGCAGCTCAGCAGCAATTAGCAGCAATTAGCATCCATTAGCATCAGTTGGCAGCGGTGGCATTCGGAGTCCCTGGAGCGGGCGCTTCCCGCCTTCTGCCGGGCCCCTGCCCATTGCTTCAGGAAGCCTGATGTTCGTCACAATCGTGATCGAGAGGACGCGAACACCGCAAGCGGACTTTTGGCAATGACAATGGCGAGTTTGCAGCCATTTCTTGCCTTCTTATGTTGCAACATGTTGCGACTGTGTCAATGGCCCATGGCTCAGGAAAATTGCGAGATGGCAGGAGAGGTCGCCCTGAAGCAGCGCGAGGTGACTACATCCCACCTGGCACTGACAGGCCGCGCAGGTGCATTGCCTCAGATCCCTTGCAAACACACAGCCCAGTGGCGTTCAATGCAACATCGGCTGCCGATGCTCGCAGGGCTCGTGATGTGCAAGCGGGCGACAGAAGACCGAAACCTGGTCGCATCCTCGGCGAGTTGGTGATGCACCCGTTGCTGCAGCTTCTTGAGCCACCGATCTGAGAGTTGAAGAGCGCGTTCGTCAATGGCAGGTCAGCGCCCCAGGCACGACCGGCTGGTCCGCGATGGAAAGGCGCATCAGACATCAGCATAGTCCGTCTCACCGATGTGCGGGATTTGGCGCTTCGTCTCTGGTGGATAGGCTCCACAAGAACGGCCAAGACCTCCCAAGGAGGCATCGGGGTGCGTGGGAAGCGATTTGGGCCAAGTTGTGCTACCATTCCTTAAGCATTCCAAGGCATTCTATCAGTATTCCAGAAGTAACTAAAAACATAGAAGACAGTTTTATTCTAACATTCTGCGCTGATTTGCAGTGATGTTAGTATCTAACTTCCAGTCGTGCCGGAACACATTAAATATTACAATTGTATACTTGTTTTTATTTGAAAAAGCAAAAACCAATCCCTTCTCCACAGCGCAGCCAGGAGGCCCCTCGGGCAGAGAGGCGCGGGCTTCCCCGGAGCCGTGAGCTCTCACGATCTGCCAGAACCCCTGAACCCCCGGAAGGCGCCCAGATGGTGCGGCCCGGGATGCGGCTCCACAGGCGATGTAAGCTTGTTGAGAGATACCGAGACATGCCCAGACACCAGACACAGACACCCTTGCCCATTGCATTTCGCATATGGTCTTCATGTGGGTCCCGGTCCTGTTATTAGCCTGAACTTCGAGAAGCTGCCCTCGGTTCGGGAGGTCTGTTCAAAACGTGGAGTTAAGGGTTCAGGATTGCGCGGTGTCAGGGTGCTTGCGGCTTCAAGTTCTATGCAATGGCCTTGGATATTCTAGTGACAGGAAGCGTCTCTGGCAACAGAAACGTATTGATTCCAGCATGGACCAGTAAGAAGCGGGAGTCCAAAGGATAGATTCACTTTGCAAGCAAGCACCACATGACTGCGCTTGCAAAGGTTGGCATTCGCACGCGAAAAGCATGCGAACTTGCACATTGCTAAAGCAAAGCATGTGTTGTGTGATTCTGTTGTTTCGCGTGAGGCTGACGCAAGGACGACTGCTCCTAAGCAGACTCAGCCATCTGACAACCAGGCCGGTGCCGAAAGCAGTAGAGGTGCTTCAAAGTCGCCTTCAAAGTCGCTCTGCAGTCCCTTTGTGCAAATCAAGAGTATTCGTAGCAATAGGCATAACCAGGTTAAAAGCAGAAGCAGAAGAAAGGTAGAAGCAGTAGCAGTTGCAGTTGCAGTTGCAGTTGCAGTAGTAGTAGTAGTAGTAGTAGTAGTAGTAGTAGTAGTAGTAGTAGTAGTAGTAGTAGTAGTAGTAGTAGTAGCAGTAGTAGTAGTAGTAGTAGTAGTAGTAGTAGTAGTAGTAGTAGTAGTAGTAGTAGTAGTAGTATTAGTAGTAGTAGTAGTAGTAGTAGTAGTAGTAGTAGTAGTAGTAGTAGTAGTAGTATAGTAGTAGTAGTAGTAGTAGTAGTAGTAGTAGTAGAGTAGTAGTATAGTAGTAGTAGTAGTAGTAGTAGTAGTAGAGTAGTAAGTAGTAGTAGTAAGCAGTAGCAGTAGCAGTAGCAGTACAGGCACACAGTAGCAGCAAGCAGTAGGAGTAGTAGTAGTAGTATAGTAGTTAGTATAGTAGTAGTAGTATTAGTAGTTAGAGTAGTAGTAGTAGAAAGTTCGTAGTCGTAGTCGTCGTCGTAGTCGTAGTCGTAGTCGTAGTCGTAAGTGTAGTGGTAGTGGTAGTGGTAGTGGTAGTGGTAGTGGTAGTGGTAGTGGTAGTGGTAGTGGTAGTGGTAGTGGTAGTGGTAGTGGTCGTCGTGGTCGTCGTCGTCGTCGTAGTGTTGGTAGTAGTAGTAGTAGCAGCAAGAGGAGGAGGAGTAGTAGTAGTAGTAGTAGTAGTAGTAGTAGCAGCAGTAGCTGCAGGCGAAGGCAGTCACGCACAAACAAGCTATCAAACAACTTTGGGAGGACAAGCGCCGCCCGCAGGTAGAGCAGCAGGCCATGGGGTGTAGCGTGTAGAGGCTGTTGTGGAGTCCCCAGTCCTCGTATGTCTGACATTCTGGACTTGCGTGTGTATTTGTATGAATCTTATACCTATCTTTTGACTCATCTATCTATCCGCAGGAAATTATGCATCTATATAAATAGGGTGCTGGCTCCACGACTGCCGCCAGGCGCAGCAAGAGTCTAAAGCTGCTGGAGAGCAGCCTCCTGAAGCATCAGGCTAGCAGAATGTGCCGAATCTTGAGAGAACCCCATTTCGCGGGGGTGGTTGTCTGCAGGAAGCGCGGAGGAGGGCGAGACTGGATCCTCGGAAAGCAGCTCTGAGGATTGCAACTCTCAGGCATCCACTTGGACTTGCATGGATTTCCTCAACCACACGCCTGTGCCGGCAGATGACCAATTGAAGGCGGACTTCAGTGGATCGGAGGAGAATTTCCACGTCGCCGTGGCTGAGGAAGCACAGGCGGAGGTGGCAGAGGGCGAAACAAACTGTGAAGGGGCAGAAGCGACTAAGGACGCCGAACCCACTGTCACTTTGCATAGACTACTAAATCTGGCTCATGCACACAGACCAACCGTTGGACGACACGCGTACATCACTATTTGCATGAAGAATGTGGTTCAAGAGCTGTGGAGGACGGTGGAGGGGGCTCTGTCAGAGAAGGAGCCGAAGGCCGCAGATGAACTCCGCACATTTCGCACCTAAGACATTTCGTGAAGCAATCTCGCGCAGGCAAAAACGGGCTGTCGCAGTCGGGGCCTTGAGAGGGGGACTGACTTCCAGGGCCCAACATTGGGGTCAAGTGCTGCTCTTACGTGCTGCCCAGCCGATCTCAGGAGTGGCACCAGCCGAACTATCCCCGTCCCAAAGCATCTGTGCAAGCAGGTCACAGGCGTCTCGGAGTGAGAAAGGAATTTGGATATTCGTGAAGATGTTTGCGAAGGGGAAGGGCGTTGAAACTCAGAAGTTTGTTTTGTGTGTCTTTTTGTTGGGGTGTTCTTTGCGTGGCGGCTCTTGGAGACCTTTGAGATGCACTGAGAGCAGACCCCGCAGGACTCTGTGCCTCCCAGAAGCTGGACATCCAGGACTGCCTTCGCTCAGAGCGCTGAGAAACGAGAGAGTCGGCCCTTAACGAAGCAGATTTGAACCCGTAGATCTCTTTCTGATAAAAAACGTGAGAACAATCGTTTGTGTGCGTGCGTGAGTGCGTGAGTGCGTGCTTTACTCTGCCAACCTAGGTTCAACTTAACATATCGAATAAACCATATTTAACATATTTAAAGTAATGCAGAACCTAACTCATGCTGACGCTTGCCAGGACAAGACGGACCAGTTTGCTCGGGTCACGGTCTCCGGAAGTGAGGAGGAGGTCGAATCTATCTTGTCAAAGATCCGCGCCCTCGGACACAGGACCGCAGGCAATGTCCAACGTTTTCCCTCTCTGGAGTTTTTAAAGGTGCCAACTTTAAAGCGGGATAAGCCTGCCTGGAGTCAAAAGCAGGAACCAGGATGCCGTGGAACTCTGCGTTGCAAAGAATGCGCAGGGTCAGCCGCTGCAAGGCTGGACGCCAGAGAAGACGCTTGCCCGTTAGGTCACATGTTTTGTGCGTGAGCCTCTGGAAGCCAGCTAAGAAGCCGACGGCAATCGAAATCTTCATCGCTGTCGTCGAAGACTGTGCAACAGTACGGTCCAGATTAGACTTTGCTACAGAAGTACGTAGTCATGGTGGTCTCGCCACAACCACATGACACACAACTACCATCGCTCCTACTTCTGCCTGAGGAACACTGCAAGAACTGCCTTTGCTTGCCCCCCTTATGTTTGTGAAGCGGGGTCGTACTCTCCGTCAACTACAGCAATGTCACGCAGCACGTTGACCCTGTCATAACACTGCGCAGCTGAGGATAGGTCAGGCAACAAAGGCCTCCGTCACTTTCACAGACAGTGAGGCGCTTTGCGCCCGCTTTACTGCAAGACTGCTTGAGATATTCCTTGAGAAGGCATAAGAGGGCATAGCAGAGCCTGCAAGCAGATGCAGGAGAACCTCCGCGTGGCCCTCCAGGGCCCTCCAGCTGCTGTGGAGGATGCTTGGCTCCTGGTTGTCAAGGCGGGACTGTTCTTACGGAGAATGGACATCCTGTGCTGTACTAAAAGATACCATTGCTTACGAAGCATGCACAGGAGCTGCATGAAACATAAATGTGAGCCGAAGAACATCGAACAATCCATGAACCGGCCCAACCCCAGACTTCAGCATGATGGGAACCTCTTGCCGAGTGCATTCTTTGGGCGACGAAAATGCATGTTCCTTGTTTCCTGCACGCGCCTATGTGAAGCCACGCGAGACGACAAGCCCGAGCTGCACGACACCTATCTGGCCCTGTGTCATGAAGCATGAAAGGAGACCATGGGATACCACAAGCCCGCACCCATGTGGCCGGCCGAGTCGCGCGACACCCATCCGGCCCTGCGCACTCATGAAGGGAGAGTATGGGAAAGCACAAACTGGAGAGCGTGACACCCATCAGATCCACCGAGGTGCAGACTGGGAAGCCACGGGGAGACCACAGGAAGAGAAACCGTGAGAGACCACGAACCCAAGACACGTGACACCCGCTCCTGTGCACTCATGAAGGGAGACCATGAGAGGCCACAAGCCCATCCGGCCTGGTGAGCCCTCGGAAGGAGAGCATGGCATCCAAAATCCAAACCGCATCCAAACCCAAGTTGCATGACACCCGTCCGGCTCCATGCGCTCATGAAGGGAGACCGCAGGGCTGCGAGCCCGAACTGCATGAGTGCACTTAAGAGTGAACACCATGGAGACCACCAGCCTCGGGACAATCCCTCGCCGAACAGCGTGACACCCAGCCGCCGTGCGGGCTCACGATCGCAGACCATGGACCATGGTAGACCACGTGAGACCACGGACCGAAGCGTGTGACACCCAACCGACGCTGCCAACTCAAGAAGACTTGCTTCATGTTGCTTCAAAACCCATTTTTACGGGTCCTTTCCAAACCTGAGCATCAGACGAGCAGAATGTCGCTACTGTTGCTATCGTTGTTTCATGCAAATTCGTGTTCGACTTCGTATCAGCATTCGCATTCGTATTCCTACTCGTAGCATGTAGAGTCAGGCTGAGCATGAGTATGCGCGTGAGTATGAATATGTTGAAGATCAGTAGCAGCACAAGTGGCCCAACAGGTTCAACCCGCAAAGGACTTCCCACCTCCACAGCCAACAAAGGGCGCCCCATTTGCGACCTCCTCTGCAGCAAGAAACCTCCCACAGCAAAAAAGGCGACCGGCCTCCGCAGCAACAAAAGCTCTTATGTTGTGTTGATCATCTTGTTTTGCCATCGGTACCGTATTCGCTCTATGTGATTCAATCTGTGTCTGAGCAACAGGACATCACTAGATTTTGTGGCATGGAGCCCGGTCCTCGCACGGCCTGGATTCCGAAGCGCCGGGTGGCCATTTTCTCTAGAGGAGATAAACTGATTGGTGCTTGGCCCACTTGGCGCATGAACACCGGACCTGCCTCGAAGGGGTGCATCAAGGGTTGTATAGGATCTTTCCACGGATCGAGTCAGGCCTGTCACATTGTTTTCAGGTCATTTGTTCGGTGTATCCCGCAAATAGTCTGTATGGAAGCCTATATATTGGCCTATGGTTCATGGCGAGGTTCGCTCGGAAGAGACCTGTGCTACCTGTGCTTTCGTCAGGGCAGACTGCAAACATCTGCAAACATCTGCAAACATCTGCAAACATCTGCAAACGGAGCATACGGAGCTTGAAAGGAGCTTGGCAGCTCGAACAGACCACCCCATACCCTCTTCGAACCGATACGGGATTATGTGTTGACTTTTTCCACAGGAGTCAAAAATTTCGGAGCTCGCGAAGTGGCCGCGTGTCATATCAAGCTATCACGCTTCGAAATTAAGCACTGCTGAAGACACTGAACACTGAACGCAGGCTGCACTGGGCAAGGCTGGGGACTCAGAGGTTCTCTTGTGACCCGATGATGCTCTCCCGATATGCCGATATGCTCTCTTTTATACTCAAAGAATGCTTTCTTTTCCTCACTTCCACGTCTCTCCCACGTCTCTCCCACGTCTCTCCCACGTCTCTTCCACGTTCGCGGGCCGAGGCTTCACATAGCCCTGGTCCAGGCTCGTAGTCTGCGGAAGCTAAGAGAACACATCACCTTTTTGGTTTTTTCTGCGAGTTGAGGGGACATGAGAGGACATGGGCAGACCAAGAGACTGTAGTTGTCGCGCTCAGGAGTGCTCACGATGGAAGCCCCACTGGGAAGTTGATGCCACCTCTCTGCCCCGGGAGCCCTCGGAACCGCGGACGGTGAGAATAGACCGAGCTAGAAAGTCCACGGTCGTGCTGCGTGACAATATCGGGTGCTGAGATCTGCAAACAGTTGCATGACATGTGACTTGCATGTCAGCTGCCCTTGGCGACTGCTCTTGGCGCACTGGACTGTCGTTCTCACGATGCCAGTTTTTGTGGTTTGGAAGCGTAGATGTAGTTGCCAAGAGCAGGGCATGTCTGGTCAAAGGCCAGCTGCCCTGTGATAGGCATGAAGGCCCCCACAGCAGACTCTTGCTGGATGAACGTGTAGACGTCGCTGCCGAATATCCCGGTGTCAGGTCCCGTGCTGAAGGGTGCCCGCCCAGGAGAGTATTCGTAGCCGGGTTTGAGGTGCACTTGCACAGATCTCTGCAGAGGGATGGAAATTACAGCAGCCGAAGGAGCACCGGGACAAGAATCACAAGGTCCCAGCAAAAACTGGTACTTTGTACAGAACGTTAAGTTAACGTTTCACTGGTCTGGAGGTTGTGCAGAGGGTGATGGGAACTTGGAAGGAAGAAGATGGCGAGAAGCCAATCCACAGTGGCATGGGTACTCCACCTGCTCCTGATCTTCACCCAGGCCAGAACACAAACCTTTCGCTGCCGCGCAGAGCAGATGCTGTGCGCGTGGCCGCGTGGCCATCGGACATGTGATTGTGGATGTTGACTTCAGGTCTGGCAGGTGCGGGCATGGATAGCCCTGAAAGACGACGGCATCGCCATGCTCCCTGCTCCGCTGGAGATCAACCCGGCCCGGATCTGAGAGTTTCAAAGGCGAGCAACAAAGCGAGCAACAAGGTGGAGCAAGGTGGAGCAAACTTAAGCCCCGATTCGGAAGCTCGGTCTGCCTTGAATCTCCGTGGCAACTGAGGCTCCGAAGGGTAGCACTGTCGACTTCCCACAGGTGATTTTCAGTGCAAGAACAGTGCCAAAGTGGAAAATCACACTTTCAGATTCGGGCACCCAGCTCGAGATCCTTCGGCTGGAGTTCAATGCGCACTATGCTGAAGTGGAGGCTGCAACTCAAGTGGCTAGCTTGTTGCCGGTACAGAGCTTTGTTTGTCTTGGTCTGGCATCAGCTCCATTCGGCCACTCTCGCATTTTCAGCCTTTCTGTGTTGGACTTCGCAGGGTCCGACTCATCTCCAGCAGCCCGAGCAGCTGCATGCCTTGAAGCAAGCCTTCCAATGTTTGGCGCTTCGCGTTTCGGATTCGTGACATTGGTGCCAGACCTTTTGAGCCTGGGTGCGTTCTCATCCCTGAAATCCCTTGCATGCTCAAGTTCTTCCACGCTAGCTTCCAGCCTCGTCGACGTCGGGCCACTCCCTTTGTTGCGTGGGCATGCCCAGTCGGGCTTCGTGCTGCTGCTCTTCGGTCGACAGCGTTTAGGTTCTGTTTTGTCGGCTTCAGATGTTAGTCACCCAGAGCCGGCCTCGTCCCTTCGATGCACTGCTTGAACGGGTCTTGTACTGGCCGCACCGGATTATGTTAAGCCAGCCCCCCTGCTGCTACTGCGCACGTTTGCCTTGCTGGGAATCCTCATGCCGGCCACAGGCAAGACAAGATTTGGTTCGGTCATGATTGCTTTGCATGACACCTTTCTAGGAGCCTCCTTGATGCCGAAGGGCTTGGCTTGCACAGGTGCATCCGTATTCGTCCTCTCCTTTTCTCAAGTGGGTGTCTCCTCACTGCTTCGAGGCTTCAGCTGCCTGGGCTCGATGTCGCCTGCCACGGTAATGTCACGCTTTGGCATACCCGTCACTGCTTCGGAGAGCTGTCATCCGGGAACGCTCTTGTTGCTTAGGGCATCTGCGTGCATGGACCTCCTAGTGTCTGTGCCGCCTCTTGCACATGCTGGCGTCCTTCCGTCGCTGAGAGGCTCCGGCTGGGTTGGAGCTTTCCTGTTCGCTGCGAGACTCGCTTCCTTGGGCTCCTCACCTTCTGCACCCGACAGCATTTCACTGGGAACCGCCTCGCTTCTTCGGAGTTCTGCCCAAACGGGCCCACCACCCCCCGCTGTGGTCTTGGCGAAGACTGCAAGCCCCTTGTCGCTGCGGGCCTCCACCCACACAGCTTCGACCGTTTTTGCCTCTGGCGCTAGTCACTTCGGCTCGAGCCCCTTTGCCTTGGATTTCTTGCATCTGGGGCCCCCGTTGATGTCGCGCGGTTTCGCTTAGTTGGATGTTTATGTGCTCGCCCTGGCAGAGTCCCATTCAGGCTTCCCAACGTTGCTCCAGCAGCTATCTAGACTCGAAGCGCCTTCTTCTGCATCTACCCGCGGAAAGGTTGCAGCTTCACTCTTTGTCCTGGACCTTGTGCAGCTGGGGCTGTTGCCGGTCTTAAGGCGCCTCTCATGCTTGGATGTATTGCTGCTGCTATTTGGATTTGATCACCTCAGCAGTCCGCCCTTGCTTCGAGCGCTGGCCCATCCTGGCTTACCAGCTTTGCTGTTTGCCGCCATGCACATGGACATGGGACTGCCCATCCTGGATTTTGGACTTCTGGGCGCCTCCCTCCCCATCCGATGTGCAAGTCGACCAGAGGTTGCATTACCAGCTCACGACCATCTCTGCTTTGACGCTCTTCCGCTGGCACGAAGCCCAGCACGTTTGGATTTCCTCGTGCTGGTCTTAGATGTGAGTTACCCAGGCAGCTCCCCGACCGCGAGGAATCTTGCACGCATTGGTTTCATCGCTTCGACATCCGGCTTGTCCCGCACAGGCTTTGTCTCCCTTCTGTCTGCTTCGGAGGGTTCCATGCCTGATGCACCCTTGCCGCTTCGGGCACCTGCCAAGCTTGAAATTCCATTCGCAGTGCCAGAGCCTGCGCACTTAAGCTCTCTGATGCTGCTGCAAAGTTGCTTTCGCTTGGGATCTACGGTTTTCACCATGGGCTTGAGCCGTCCTGGGCCCGTTTCCCCACTTCCGGTTGTCGACGTGGTCCACTTGGCAAGCTTTTTGCCCTTAAGGAGTTCCGCATGGCCTGGCTCGGTACCGCCGGCCACGGACTCTTCTCATGTTTCTGCATCCCTACTGCTGAGGCATGCGGCATCATTGGACTCTTTGCCTTTCACCTTCGGATGCGCTCGTCCAGGCTCGACAGCCTTCGCACTGGACCTTGTGCACTTCGAAATGCTGCTGCTCTTGAGAAAAGCTGTCCGGTGCTCAGTTGATTCTGGCCTATTCACACGCATTGATTTTGTTGTTGCTTTGAGATGCTGACAGAATTTTGAGAGTCCGAGGGGTAGAACAGAGTTCCATAGATTCAGGCTTTGCGAAGCACGAATAGGTTGTGGTCCTGAACTGTTGACCTGGGACTGGATCCAAATCTGGAAAAAAGCTCAGCGCGCCCGAGGCCAAACTTGGTTCTGCCGCTACGACCCTTTGCACGACGAGGTTAGATTTTGCGGCCTCGGTATTAGATGCTGTACGTTTGGACTCTTTGCCTCTTCTCCGAAGTGTTGCGCACTCAGATGCCCCAACCTTTGCTCTGAGCTCTGCGAACTCAGGCTTGACCACATCATTGCGAGCCGCTGGTTGTTTGGGCACTGCTGCAGCTCCGCTTGGCTTAAGCTGCATGGGCCCCATTTTCTTGCTGTCTGTATCGGAAGGTGTGCGGCCAGGCTCCCTTCCTCCGGCACAGAGCTGTAGTCATCTCAACCCATGCATATCGACCCTGGACTCTGCCGCTATGGGCCCTCCCTTACTGGCAAGGAGCCCTGGAAGACTCGGCCTCTTCTTGGCTGTACTTGGCACCGCGCGACTGGGCAGTGTGTTTGCATTGTCAGCAACCGACCGGGCATGCTCAGACGTGTCCCCTCCGATTCGGCGACTCACCCATCCTGGACCGGCTCCGCCAGCTGTGGAGATGTCGAACTCAGAGATCTCGCCGCTGATGCGTTGTTCTGCCTGTTTGGAGCCATCGCCGTTTGTTTCTGGCGCCACTTGCTTGGGCTTCACCTTCCCTGCCCTCGACCTTGTCAAAGCAGGCGTGCTGCTACTGACACGTGTATCCAATCACCCCGAAACCATCACATCCATGTTTGGTATGTGCTGTTCCGGAGCGTTTATGCTGGCCTTGGATTTCTTGGCATGTGGCAGTCTGCTGTCGCTGCGGCGGCACACGCACCCTGGCACTCCTTTGCCTGTTTTCGGCACTCGCTTTGGCACTTCTTCGCCGGCTCTTGATGCCGCCGAACTTGAGCCAACCCCACTTCCCCGGAGCCTTTGCCACCTGGACTTCGTGCTCTCTCTCTTGGGATGTGCCAGAACAGGAGTTCCAGCTTCTGCCTTTGACGCTGCAAGCTTGGATTTCGTTCTGGTTTCGCAGAGCCTCGCCAGCCTCGAAGTTACGGCATCGGCATTTGGCCTGCTTTGCCCAGGATTGCCGCTGGCAATGCTGGATGTAGCTGGCCCTGGATCTTTACTGTTGGCGCAGGGCTTGGGAAGGTCAGGACTTCCTTTGAGCCTTTCTTCTGTCACCCGATCTGGTTCCAGCCTTTTTGTGCTGGACTTCCTTGTTCCAGGTTCTTCTCTTGTGCCACACAGCCCTGCATGCCCCGATGCTCTTTTGGCGCTCACGGTGCTAGCTAGACTAGAGGCTTCCCCCTCCGCATCTGACCTTGGTGCCGTGGACTCAGCAACAGCCACAAGAAGACTCGCCAAATCAGAATTGTCCACTGCCGTGCTCGGCTCTTCACGGCTGGCACCCCTACCTGTACTTGACTCTGCTGCACTGGGCACGCTGCCTACTGTCCGGAGCCCTTCTTGAACCTCTGCCTCCATGCTTGTGTCCGATCTCGCACGGCTCGATTCGCT